ACTACAGAGATAACTCTAGATAGCCTAGCCTTTGTAGATGGAGGCATGTTGGAGTCAGGGCAAGGGAGAGTCGTCTATAACGACTGTACACTCCACCTCCCTCTACTCCCCTACTTGTCCAGATCTGTGCTAACATCAGATTTTAACCATAGGCCCTATCAAATAAAAATGTTTTAAGCCTAGTCTTAAAAGTAGACAAGGTGTCTGCCTCACGGACTAACACTGGGAGCTGGTTCCGCAGGAGAGGAGCCTGATAACTAAAAGATCTGCCTCCCATCCTACTTTTAGATATTCTGGGAACCACCAGTAAACCTGCAGTCTGAGAGCGAAGTGCTCAGTTAGGAGCGTATGGAACAATCAGATCACTGATGTATGATGGAGCTTGATTATTAAGAGCTTTATATGTGAGAAGGAGGATCTTAAAATCTATTCTGAATTTAACAGGCAGCCAATGTAGGGAAGCTAAGACAGGAGAGATATGATCTCTCTTTTTAATTCTCATCAGAACTCTAGCTGCAGCGTTTTGGACAAGCTGAAGACTTTTAACTACATTCTGTGGACTTCCTGAGAGTAATGAATTATAGTAATCCAGTCTTGATGTAATAAATGCATGAACTAGTTTTTCAGCATCACTCCTGGAAAGGATGCTTCTAATCTTAGCTATATTCCAAAGGTGGAAAAAGGAAATCCTACAAACCTGTTTAACCTGGGATTTGAATGACATGTCCTGGTCAAAGATAACACCAAGGTTCCTTACTTTCTTCTCTGAGATTAATGTAATGCCATTCAGGTCAGGTGATTGACTAAGCAATTTCCTTTTCTGGATTTCTGGTCCAAAGATGAGAACTTCAGTCTTGTCTTGATTTAAAAGCAAAACGTTTTTTTTAATGTCCTCAAGACAAGCCTGTAATCTACCTAACCGATTAGGTTCATCAGGGTTAATGGATAAATATGAGTATCGTCAGTATAACAGTGGAAGTTTATCCCATGCTGTCTAATGATTTTACCCATTGGAAGAATATATATATATATATATATATATATATATATATATATATATATATATATATTAGGGCTGTCACGGTAACCGCAAAAATGAAATATCGCAATATGAAGAAACCCACCGCGCTGCATCATGGGCCACCGCGATTACTGAACGTGATTCAACTCAATGATGCTTGTTGAGAAGGATGGCTGCACTGGTATCAAAACGAAACGTTACTTCGCTCCTTTTGGAGCACTTTGGTTTTCAGTACGTCAGCTGCTGCGCAGCCAGAGTCCTTGGCCGGGACAGAGCTGCCACCAGCGGCCAAAAAATAAACAAAATAAACGCTCGGAGACCTGCTGAAGTCCCGGAAAAGCACTGCTTCTGCAACCGTCCCGAAGAGAGCTTGAGCTGAGCTGGAGCTCACTCGCTACCTGCAGGAGGAATGCATCCACCCTAAAGAAACCCCCCTGACATGGTGGAGCAACAACCGGGAGAGATTCCCTTTGCTCGCCAGAGTCGCACGCAAGTACGTGTGCGTTAAAGTTTCGCACTCCCCCTCATTTTCTCTCTTTTATGTTTGTTTGTGACCTCTCCTCCTGAATCAATATGTCTGGTTAAGTGCAACGAGCGCACCATCCGAGAGGGTTTTCAGTGTTGCTGGAAATGTTGCCACCCCTCACAGATCCTCTCTCAAACTGTATATGGTTAACATGCTGGTTTTCCTTGTGGGTAACAATACTCAATCTTTTGTCGCAAATACAGGTTCTGAGGACCCTGTTGTTGACACCAGTTGGAGCCCATTTGACCAACGAGTCGGTTTGTGAGATCATGCAGTCCTGCTTCAGAATCTGCTTTGAGATGCGCCTCAGTGGTGAGTTGATGCGTGTGTGTCTGACCTGCTTAAGGTCTTTTCAAATAGAGCTTAAAGGCATAGCAATTGATGTTTTACTTCCGAGTGGATCACATCAACTATTGGTCCACAAAAATGTCAATTTCTGGTGAAGCCCATCCTGGGTTAGTTTTCACTTCCTGCGCATGCGTACTCTGTGCACCCCTGCACTCTCATGAAAATCAGGAAGAGGCTATCGCGGTCCAGTCCACTCCCCACAGATGCCGCTGTTGCCGGTTTTCTGCTCGAGAGGTAAGCTAACGTTCAGCATGCTATTTTTAGAGCCTGTTATTACACATTAAGGCCGGCAGCTACTTGTAAACAGGCGCTGGGAGAGTGTTGCGCAACGTGGAGAGGGTGGTTCTTACCTGAAATTCAGAAACATCGATTGCTATACCTTAAAATAAAGGGTCTTTAAACCGTTAACGAGAACAAATCAAACTTGTGTTTTTTTAAATTCATCATTTATGATCCAATAATCTAAAAATTCATTTAAACCTGGAAGTATTAAACTCTAAATATTAGAGACAATGTGTAGTTTTTACCATTCATCTCTGGAAATATCCATCAAAATGTTGTTGAAAATGAATGAAATGATTTGTTGTTGAACAATATTGGCAGCTTCATAACATATAACCATAGAAATAAGGTCTAAAATACATGGGAGTGGGTCTAAGTCTCTGGGCGACGCCACATTAGACGCCTTGTTTCCTTCTACGGAAGCCCATGAGGACAAAATGCATTTACTGATTTGTAAAAAATGGTTACAAAACTTTCACCATTCTTAAATGTTGTTGTTTTACACATTTACCTCCACTTGTTGCCACTGATGAAAGGGAGTCCGATGTCCTCGTTATTTTTGCTGAAGTTTGCACTCCCCAGGGCTTTTTGACCCTAATGGGCATCAGTTGGTTAAGTCTTACTTCAACACAAAAATACCGCTTGCTTGCAATGATTTAAGGATCTACTGCCCCCCATTGCCAGGAAAAATACACACTGTCACTTTACCGGATATTTTGTGTTTGTGGTGGTTATTTTTTTTGGTGGTGGTGGTGGTGGTGGTGGTGGTGGTGGTGGTGGTGGTGGGGGGGGTTAGTATGTTAGTTCTGATCTGTGGTTTTTTTCTGTATCTTCAGAGCTCCTTAGAAAGTCCGCAGAGCACACGCTGGTAGACATGGTGCAGCTGCTGTTCTCCAGGTAACCAGAGGAGGGGCGGAGGTGGTAACTCACAGCGCTTTGGTCAGGAATGTGCTAGGGACAGGCTTTTCAGGGTTACACACACACACACACACACACACACTAAAGCTGGGTTTGAGCTTCTCACACTTCTAGAGCTCACATGGAAACAGGTTTTCTGTAAACCTCATAAACACGAAACGTCGTCGTCGTCGTCTTCCTCCGCTTATCCGGGTCCGGGTCGCGGGGGCAGCATCCCAACTAGGGAGCTCCAGGCCGTCCTCTCCCCGGCCTTGTCCACCAGCTCCTCCGGCAGGACCCCAAGGCGTTCCCGGACCAGATTGGAGATGTAACCTCTCCAACGTGTCCTGGGTCGACCCGGGGGCCTTCTGCCGGCAGGACATGCCCGAAACACCTCCCCGGGGAGGCGTCCAGGAGGCATCCTGACCAGATGCCCAAACCACCTCAACTGGCTCCTTTCGATCCGGAGGAGCAGCGGTTCTACTCCGAGTCCCTCCCGAATGTCCGAGCTCCTCACCCTATCTCTAAGGCTGAGCCCGGCCACCCTACGGAGGAAACTCATTTCGGCCGCTTGTATCCGCGATCTCGTTCTTTCGGTCATTACCCAAAGCTCATGACCATAGGTGAGGATTGGGACGTAGATCGACCGGTAAATCGAGAGCCTGGCTCTCTGGCTCAGCTCCCTCTTCCCCACGACAGATCGGCTCAGCGTCCGCATCACTGCAGACGCCGAACCAATCCGCCTGTCGATCTCCCGATCCCTCCTACCCTCACTCGTGAACAAGACCCCGAGATACTTAAACTCCTCCACTTGAGGTAGGACCTCTCCCCCAGCCCGGAGGTGGCAAGCCACCCTTTTCCGGTCGAGAACCATGGTCTCAGATTTGGAGGTGCTGATCCTCATCCCAGCCGCTTCACATTCGGCCGCGAACCTACCCAGCAAGAGCTGAAGGTCAGAGCTGGATGAAGCTAGGAGGACCACATCATCCGCAAAAAGCAGAGACGAGATTCTCCTGCCACCAAACTCGACACACTCCACACCACGGCTGCGTCTAGAAATTCTGTCCATAAAAGTGATGAACAGAACCGGTGACAAAGGGCAGCCCTGGCGGAGTCCAACCCTCACTGGGAACAGGTCCGACTTACTACCGGCTATGCGGACCAAACTCACGCTCCTCTGGTAAAGGGACTGAATGGCCCTTAACAGAAAGCCACCCACCCCATACTCCTGGAGCGTCCCCCACAGGGTGCCCCTGGGGACACGGTCATAAGCCTTCTCCAAATCCACAAAGCACATGTGGATTGGTTGGGCAAACTCCCATGCCACCTCCATCACCCTTGCAAGGGTATAGAGCTGGTCCACAGTTCCACGGCCAGGACGAAAACCACATTGCTCCTCCTCTATCTGAGATTCAACTATCGATCGGACCCTCCTCTCCAGTACCTTGGAGTAGACCTTTCCAGGGAGGCTGAGGAGTGTGATCCCCCTATAGTTGGAACACACCCTCAGGTCACCCTTCTTAAAGATGGGGACCACCACCCCGGTCTGCCACTCCCTAGGAACTGCCCCCGATGACCACGCAATGTTGTAGAGACGTGTCAACCATGACAGCCCTACAACATCCATAGCCTTGAGATACCCAGGACGAACCTCATCCGCCCCCGGGGCTCCGCCGCTGTGTAGTTGTTTGACTACCTCAGCAACTTCTGCCCCCGAGATCGGACAGTCCATCCCCAGGCCTCCCAGCTCTGGTTCCTCCTCGGAATGCGCATTGGTGGGATTGAGGAGCTCCTCAAAGTATTCCTTCCACCGTCCGACTATAGCCTCAGTTGACGTCAGCAGCTCCCCATCCCCACTGTAAACAGTGTGAGCGAGTTGCTGCCTTCCTCTCCTGAGGCGCCGGACAGTTTGCCAGAACCTCTTTGGAGCCGATCGATAGTCTTTCTCCATTGCCTCACCAAACTCCTCCCACGCCCGAGATTTTGCCTCGGCAACTGCCACTGCTGCACCCCGCTTGGCTATCCGGTACCTGTCTGCTGCCTCCGGAGACCCACTGACCAGCCACGCCCTGTAGGCCTCCTTCTTCAGCTTGACGGCTCCCCGAACCTCTGGTGTCCACCAGCGGGTACGGGGGTTGCCACCACGACTGGCACCGGCCACCTTACGACCACAGCTAGCAACAGCCGCCTCGACAATCGCAGAGTGGAACAAGGCCCACTCGGACTCAATGTCCCCCACTGCTCTCGGGACGTGGTCAAAGCTCTGCCGGAGGTGGGAGTTGAAGACCGTCTTGACAGATTCTTCTGCCAGGTGTTCCCAGCAGACCCTCACTATGCGTTTGGGTCTGCCAGGTCTACGCGGCATGTTCCCTTGCCATCTGATCCAACTCACCACCAGGTGGTGATCAGTTGACAGCTCCGCCCCTCTCTTCACTCGGGTGTCCAAAACATACGGCCGCAGGTCAGATGATACGACTACAAAATCTATCATCGATCTGTGACCTAGGCTGCCCTGGTACCAAGTGTACCGGTGGGCATCCTTATGTTCGAACATGGTGTTCGTTATGGCCAAACTGCGGCTTGCACAGAAGTCCAATAACAAAACACCGCTCGAGTTCAGATTAGGTGGGCCGTTCCTCCCAATCACACCCCTCCAGGTCAAGCTGTCATTGCCCACGTGAGCATTGAAGTCCCCCAGCAGGACAATGGAGTCCCCTGATGGAGCACTATCTAGCACTCGTCCCAGGGACTCCAAAAAGTGTGGGTACTCTGAACTGATATTTGGCCCATAAGCACAAACAACAGTCAGGACCCATTCCCCGACCCGAAGGCGCAAGGAAGCTACCCTCTTGTCCCCCGGGGTAAACCCCAACACACAGGCAGAGAGTCTCGGGGCTAACAAAAAGCCAACCCCAGCCCTCCGCCTCTCACCCGGAGCAACTCCAGCAAAGTAGAGTGTCCAACCCCTCTCCAGGTCTCGGGTTCCAGAGCCAATGCAACTTCACGAAACGATTTCTAAAAATGTCTTTACTGTAAAAGAATTTGAACAAATGAAGCTTAATATCTTTTAAAATCCTGTAAAAGACGGTTAGGGTCTCGTCTCACTTTTCCCTCCTCTGATTGGAGCGTTTCTGTTCATCAGGCTGTTTTTACTCTTAAGATGATGAATGTCATTTTGCCTCGTTTGCCAGGTCACTGATTCACTAATGCCGTAACAGGATTTCTCCTCCGGCATTTCACACACACACACACACACACACACACACACACACACACACACACACACACACACACACATACACATACATATACATACATCACACACACACACCACAAAGCATCAGAGTGCCGGTCACATTCAGTCACAGATGAAGGGAATGAGCCAATTCTGCTGCACACTGTATGATCTGCATATAGATGAAGGTGTTCTGTGCTTCAACAGTAATGCCCCCCAAACACGCACACACGGCACCTCGTCTCTACGTTGGCTTGTCTTGGAGCACAGCAGGACCACAAACGTCTCCTCAGAATTAAGTTACTTTTGTTTCCTCATTTTTAGTTTGTTTTTATTTTTCCAGCAGAAGTTTTTAAACCAGAGTCCTCCCAGAGAGCTGGATCTACTCTAGGTCTCCAGCATTCGTTTATGCCAGGCTTGTCGCTATTCGCTGACTCTCCTCCAAGCATTCTTGGCCTGATTGTATTTACTGCCAGCACCTTGTTATCATGCTCTCCTACACGATTTTACTGTGGCGGGATCAAAGATGTCAGCCATGCTCGTAAAGCAGGGCTCAGATTCAGAGGCTCCGTCCGCGTCTCCTCTCATCATGCTTGGTTTCAACTCCCAAGTCCACCCCCCCACCCCCACCCCCCCGCATGCCCACAGATGCTAGATAATAGAGATGTGAGTGCACCTCCCCTACACACACACTCACACAGAAGCTAATAATGAGACGTTCATCTCTTCAGGAGGAGTCTTGGATTGCCTGCTGAAGTTATTAGGCATGTTAATCTGTTGGACCCACAGATCATCCAATAATCATGGCTGCAAGACAACACTCTATTAACATGGAGTTAATGTCAGGAGGGGGTAGTGGGGGCCTTTTGTTAGGTGTGTGTGCGTGTGCATGTGTGTGCGCACGCATGTGTGTGTGTGTGTGTGTGTGTGGGTAAGAGGGATGCTGCCTTCTGGTGACATCTCATTTTCCTGCTTAGCTGTAGAGTCAACAAAAAACTGGTGGCACCCACACAAACGGACGCACACACACACACGCACGGGTGCGTACACACATATACACACACATGCACACACACACACACACGCACGGGCGCGTACACACACATACACACACACACACACGCACAGGTGCGTACACACATATACACACACATGCACACACACACACGCACGGGCGCGTACACACACATACACACACACACGCACACGCACGGACGCGTACACACGCATACACACACACACACGGACGGACGGACACACACGCACGGATGCGTGCACGCACGCACGCACACACACACACAGACGCGTGCACACACACACGCATGCACGGACTCGTGCACACACGCACACACACACACACGCACGGACTCGTGCGCACGCACACACACACACACACACACGCACACGCACGGACGCGTACACACGCATACACACACACATGCATACACACACACACACACACACACGGACGGACGGACACACACGCACGGATGCGTGCACGCACGCACGCACACACACACACAGACGCGTGCACATACACACGCATGCACGGACTCGTGCACACACGCACGGACTCGTGCGCACGCACACACACACACACATTCACACACGTACGCACACACACACACACACACACACACACACACGCACGCACGCACGCACGGACTCGTGCACACACACATGCACACACACACACACACTCACACACGTACGCACGGACTCGTGCACACACACACGCACACACACACACAGTAATCAGGATCTATGCAGGCTCTTCGTGGTTCTGGATGAAAACTCTGAGCTTGGCGCTCTAACTGAACCTCCTCAGCAGCTGAAGCTTGTTACTCGTTTTGGATCATTTTCAGTTGGAACCGGACCGAACCGGTTCATACGAGTCTGGATTTTACATCCCATAGTTAAAGACCTGTAAAAGAGAAATCTATCCAACGGCTTTTTAAACTCACATTTGGTTACTTTCTGATTGTCTGTTTTTCGTTTTAATGTTTTTTTCCAGACTGCCGCAGTTCAAAGAAGAAGCCAAGAGTTTTGTTGGTGCCAACATGAAGACGGTACCCCAGCTGAGATGATGGGTGTCTGTTTGTTGTGCCTGCTGATCACTGACTTGGTCCTTCTAGTCGTTATTGGGCTGAGTTTTGGTTTGGTTCTGTTTGCGTGTGTGGAGTCAGCTCTAGAAACAGCTGCCTGCATGTTTATCCAGCATTTACTAAAACCATGCCTGAACTGTTAGAACCCTGACAGGCTGGTAAACCCTTCCTCACCTCCCCTCAGCTCTGCTCTGCTCCTGCAGCCTCTCTTTCCTCCCATAGACTCCCTTCTGCGTAAATCAGCTGCTTTCTAACACCAGGAGTCCTCTCGTCTCTTTGAACTGAACTCGTAGTTTTCCTCACATCATTTTAACTTTTCTATAATAACAAGTCAGTGAACTCTTATATTTTCTTTCACTAGTTTATGTTTCATGAACGTCTGCAGCTGAGTGGCTTGTTGATTTTAGCAACACATAAGATGTTAAATGCCTAAGGAGTGGGCGTGGCTGCTGTCTCACTTTTAGCTTTATGCATGTTGACGTTGGCTGCGCTCCCTGCTCCTTAGCTGGTTGCTAATTGTAGTTTGTCTGAAGCCCCGCCCCCATCATGCATGGATGTTGATGCTTGAGCCTGTTACGTGTTGGCTGATAAGTCTTCCATCACTAATCATGGGCACCTCCCCTTTTCTTCTGAGGCTTACAATATCTTGTGGAAAAACAAACGTGTGCAGGTAAGGAAGACGGCTCTCCTCCTCTAGAGGCTCTCGGGGAAGCTGCTCCTCGCTTCTTTCACTCTTCTTCTCTTTGCTTTGATGATGCAACTTTTCCAAGACCTTCCTGTTGATCTGTAAACTACAGAGAGGAGTTCACTCTTCTGACCCTTTCTGTTGTTTTCTGAGTCAAATGTGTAGATTTTCCTCTCATCAGCAACATAAAACGTTCACAAAAGCTGAAAGGGTTTGCCATCCCCATTCAACTCAGATATTACATCATTTTTGTTTATAATGGAAAATTAAGGCCTTTAGAAAATTTTCCTCAACCTGTCGTTCGACAGCTGGGATGAACATTTATTATCATGTTTTATGTTTTTTTCCCACAGAATTTAAACACGTAGCTAACTATTGCCAGAAACGCTGTGATGGAGAAAATAACTCCAGGAGGAGTTTTCATAGCCATAGCTTTCCTTACCCATAATGCACCCTGATTTTATCAATAAACCTTAAGTTTCAACATTTGGTTCATTTAACTGCATTAAAATGCTTTTATTGGATTTATATTAATTAAATATTATACATATTAATAGATTTTGAGGACTTTCACCTTCAACTGTGTGATTACTCATTTTAAAGCCTTTAACAATTGATGATGGATTCAGCGTGAGGCACATCAGACTTTAAAAGCTCCTAAAATGAGAAGTTTTTGTCTTCCGGGTTTGACCTTCTGATCCTGTTTTGTGGTTTTCCGACTGAATAAAGGAAGAAGATGAGGTTTCTGGTTTTATTTAGTTGTAAACGCCCAGCAGGTGTGACTCACCCGGTTTCTCTGCGCTCTGTCCAGCTGAAGATGCGAGCTGGTGGAATGGGGGAGTCCTCCAAGTGGAAGAAGCAGAAACGCTCACCAAGGCCTCCTCGCCACATGGTCCGAAGCTCCTCGGGTCAAATGGAACCGAGCCAGCCCAGCACCCTCAGCAACAACCTCTCAGGTGAAAAACAATCATCCGCTAACAGGTGGGGTGGGGGCACCTAGCTTGTTTCGGACCGCTTGGCAGAAACATCACAGCTGATTTCTCTCTCCTGTTCATGACGCCGTGTGTGCTGCTCTAGGTGGCGTCCCTTTCATCGAACAAGGCGTGCCCAACTCAGGCCTCGTGACCTCAGACAGTGCCACCTCATCCATATCAACCACAGACAGCGCCCTGGAAACCGGATCCAAAGCCACATCCAAGGAGGACCTCTCTGACCTGGACCAGTGTAGCTCCTCGGCGACCACGCCCTGCATCGCCACCCCGCTCCCCGCTACCGAGCCCGGCCCGTCAGAAGCACCGGTACAGGTGTTTACCCTTCAGCTGTTGGGTGTAGCTATAGTTTCTCTTCACCTGCTCCATGTTGTTGTTTTCAGTCTGAAGGCAGACCGATTGAATCGGCTCAGTCGGCCTCTGCGGAGTCCATTCCTGAAGTCCTGGAGGACAAAGACTCTGTCGCCGAGCAGTCAGACACCGCCTCTGTTCATGACATGGACTACGTCAACCCTCGAGGGGTTCGTTTTACTCAGTCCACTCAGAGAGACGGTAAGGCGGGCTGTTTCTGCCGGATCCTAGCTAGACTCGCTCTGCTCCAGAGGGAGCAGATGATCCTAACGTGAATCTTTTCCTTCTTTCTGTTTCCTTCTGCGTGAGAAGGCGTCTCCCTCATCCCTTACGGCCTCCCGTGTCTGAGGGAACTCCTTCGCTTCCTGATTTCTTTGACCAACCCTCATGACCGTCACAACACAGACGCCATGATGCACATGGGCCTGCAGCTCCTGACCGTAGCGCTGGAGTCTGCACACATCGCTAACTACCAGTCTTTACTAGTCCTGGTTAAGGATGAGCTCTGCAGACACATGTTCCAGGTAAAACACACCTGAGTGGGATGGTTTGAACAGGTGTGGAGACCAAAGGGGCTGATGTTCTGTGTCGGTGTGTTACAGCTGCTTAGTTTGGAGCGTATGAGTCTTTATGCGTCCTCCATACGCGTTTGCTTCCTGCTCTTTGAAAGCATGAGGGTTCACCTGAAGTTTCAGCTGGAGGTCAGCCTGCTTCCACAGCATCTTCTAGAGGAGATGAATTCATCCTGAAATAATCTAACCTTCAAACTTGTGCGTGTCAGATGTACCTGAAGAAGCTGATGGACATCATCACATCTGAGAACATTAAGATGCCATACGAGATGAAGGAGATGGCCCTGGAGGCTCTGGTACAGCTGTGGAGGATCCCCAGCTTCGTCACCGAGCTCTACATCAACTACGACTGCGACTTCTACTGCTCCAATCTGTTTGAAGACCTCACCAAGCTGCTGTCCAAGGTAAGAGCTGAAGCAGGAGGAGGTCATCTGAAGAGGTTGGTTTGTGAGTGAATCCCCTAAAGGTTAAAGTAGGTGCGGACACCTGGTGAGGGCGGAGCTTCAGGCTGCTCACAGTCTCCATCTGGCTCCTAGTGAAGAGGGCTAGCTGCGTCGTGCATGACTACACCATGGCCTCCATCAGCTGTTTGTGTTTTACTCAGAACGCCTTCCCGGTGTCAGGGCAGCTGTACACCACCCACCTGCTGTCCCTGGAGGCTCTGCTGACGGTCATCGACGGCATCGAGGCCCACTGCCAGGCCAAGGTGGGGAACACCACCTCCCAGCAGGACCAGTCCGACCCGCTCCCCGCTGAAGCAGAAGCTTCCTGCACCAATGGAACAGACTCTCTCTGTGGTACTGTTCCTCACCTTCCAGACCCGATCTCATTTCCTCGACTCATAAATAAGACATGATGGACTTTTTAGCTTTTAGTTTTCTGTAGATCACATAAAGATGTTTCTCCTCAGATCTCAACAGAACCAGCAGCACAAATGTTCCTCTCCACGCTGCGAATGCTGCAGTGTTTCCTCCAACCAGTGGACACTTGATGGCAGAGAAGATGAGGGTCGGCAGGCAGGACCAAGGGGACAGCGACGCTGGTGAGATGTCCTGAAGTCCTTCAGAGCTTTATCTAGAATCTGTGAAGCCGAGATGGATAAAGGTCTATTATATCCTCCTGCAGAGAAGAAAACTCCCAAGAAGCCTCTGCGTTTCTCCTCATATTTACCTGATTCCCAAGAGCTGATGGAGATCAGAACAAAAAAGAAGGTCAGTTAGGTCCAGAAGTTCTGGCAGCTCACACCCAGAACCAGGAACCACTCCATTAACGTTCTCCTCTCGGTGTCTAGCTGCTGATCACAGGAACAGAACAGTTCAACCAGAAGCCCAAGAAGGGTATCCAGTTCCTGCAGGAGAAAAGTCTTCTCAGGGACCCCATGGACAACAACCAGGTGGCCCAGTGGCTCAGAGAAAACCCCCGTCTGGACAAAAAAATGATCGGCGAGTTCGTCAGCGACCGCAAGAACATGGAGCTCCTGGACAGCTTTGTGAAGTAGGGCGGCCTTCCTGTTCATCTCAAATGGTTGAATCATTTTCACATTTAACACAATTCTGTTTTGTAGCACCTTCACCTTCCAGGGCCTTCGCATCGATGAGGCTCTGAGGCTCTACCTGGAGGCCTTCAGACTTCCTGGAGAGGCTCCTGTAATCCAGAGACTCCTGGAAACCTTCACAGACAACTGGCATGTAAGACGTTTCTCCTGAATCCCATTTGGCTAAACGGGAATAAACCTCAGGCCAGACAACAATAGCCATAACGCCTTGTGTATGTGAAACTTCAGAATAGGTTTTATTAATAATCTGTTTCAACTTCTAACCTGTAACGTTACTTGCTGGTGGTTTCGGCTGCTGTTAGAGTAATAACAACCATTCATGTCAGATATTTTTGGATATTTTTCCACACAGGTATCATTCATGTCACTAATCCAACCTGAAAGGAGAAGCTAATCTGTGAGACAGACTCATTCCAGGCTAATCCAGATATTTATTTGTTATAAATGTGATGATTATGGCTTACAGCCGATGAATCCAGAGGGCTCCTGAGCCTTTAGATGGTCTCTCAGTCTGAGCTAGATTACTGATATTAATGGACTTGTGCACCAGACTCTAGTTTTTAATGTTTCACCTGTATGTGTGCGTGTTTGAGACTTTAATTGTGAAGGGTTAAAGGAAGTTGTGTTAGTTCTGATGCAGGTGCTGCTGCAGGAGATGTTATTTTATAGTTTACCAGTAAAATTCACCCAGAACAGAACCGAAGCCCTGGGCTCTGGTTCAGTGGAACGACAGAAATCTGTTCCTAAAACACTTTTTTTTATCTTTTCTCTTTGCTCCTCAACAGGAATCAGGTGTTTCAGAGCTACTGTTGTGAATTTGGGACTAATTTAGAAACACAAGAGAGAGAAACTAGAGCAGGGGGTCCAAACCTTTCAGGACACGAGCCACAAAGGCCCGAAACAGGCACATTAGTAAAAATCTGTACATTTAATGTGGAAAATAGTCTAGAAATGTAATTTGGGGCAGCACATCACCACCCCAAGGGGCCGCAAATGGCCCCTGGGCCACTCTTTGGAAATTCCTGGACCAGAGTCTAGGATCCAGAAACATAAGGAAAAGCTTCGGTTTTTGGCCACGGGATGTTTCTGTAGCATTCCCAGACGCGTGGTGGGGAATTCCATTGTTTTCTAGCAACGATTCCCCAGATGTAAACAAATGACAACACGACGACCATATCTGCTGCTCGGCTCCGCCGTGCCAAGAAGTGAAGGTCATCCTCGGAGGTCTCTGGTGGATCACATCTTAGACAAATCCAACCTTCTTCTCCATCATCACAGGATTGGGTTTGTTATAAAGGTGATAAATCAGACTCGTTCATCGTCAAGATCAGCTTCAGATGATAATAGCAGCATGACATAAATATTAACGCGGACTCACGTACGCTCACAGCGATGGGCGGACTTCAGCCAGGAGAACATTCGACCTCTCAAAATAGCAAGAGGAGTCATTTACACTGGAAACTTCCTAGTAATGTCCTTTTCATAGCACGCGCACACACACACACACACACACACACACACACACACACACACACACACCACACGCACACACACACACACACACACACACACACACACACACACACACACACACACACATGCACACACACACACACACACACACACACACACACATGCACACACAGGAGGTCTAAAAGGGTGGGTGATTCATTTTAGGCAGCAACTCCATAAATGAGTTTTCCACTCTGGTATGAGTGATGCCCGCTCGTGGGCACGGTTGACTGCTCCTATGTAACAGGAAGACGGTCCGGTGGTTTGATCCTCTGGGTTCCTGTGGAGGTTGTCGACGTTCCATGTGTCATAGAATTGTCACATTAAATGTAACGGAATACCTGTTTCCACCCGGACCACTTTAGGTGTGACACCCTCCGAGCCTAACCCTGGTCCTGGAGTGATGCTGTCCAGCATGTTTTAGTTGTTTCCCTGCTCCAACACACCTGGTTCAGTGGCTGAATCACCCGTTCATCAGCTCACACAGAGGCCCGTTCAGCACCTGCTGAATAAAACCAGGTGTGATGGAGCAGGGAGAAACCTAAAACATGCTAGAAGGTGGACCAGGATTAAGCTCTCCTGCTTTAGTGTTAACAGTAATAATAGAAATGACACCCCTGATGTGTTTAGTTGGTGATTTAACATGATTAACGGTGAGTTAATTAGCTGCTAATTAGGTGTTAGCTTTACTAGCGCAAGTTAGCATAAGGCAGCTAATTATCCTGTTTACATAGTTCTATTAAACAATGAGGAACAACTTGCACATATATGTCATTAAAATCCCAGGTTCACATATAAAAACACAAAATGATATGTTTCCCAGTCCTACTGCAGGGTTCTAGTATGATGTTCCAGTAGCAGAGAGGAACCCTGACGGATCTCTCAGAACCTTGTTTTAAACACGAGATGGTTTTAGTTTGAATCATCTGTTCCTTCACTGGTTCCTTTGATCCGTGACAAGAGTGCGTCAGTACCAACACCCTCATCAGTAATGAGGCTTCCCTGCTTCATGACATCATCACCAGCTGATTGGTTCTTGTGTGAAGAATTAGCAGAAGCAGCCAGTCAGATCTGACAGAAACCAGCTGTTGATGCGTTTGAGCTTTAGTGTGAAAGGGTTTCCTCCTGAACCCTAACCGTGTGTGTGTGTGTGTGTGTGTGTGTGTGTGTGTGTGTGTGTGTGTGTGTGTAGAAGGTGAATGGCTCTCCTTTCATGACTAACGATGCAGGTTTTGCTTTGGCCTACGCTGTCATAATGCTGAACACCGACCAGCACAACCACAACGTCCGCAAGCAGAACATCCCCATGACTGTAGAGGTAGGTCACACACACACACACACACACACACACACACACACACACACACACACACACACACACACGGACCCTGGTGTAGTTCACAGCCTCACCAACAGCTGTGAGCAGTGGTGGTCCCTCTTGGAAGTGAACTCATCCTAAACGAGGAGGCGGGGTTCTGGTCTGTGTTTGATTGACAGCAGCTGAAGACTAAACACGGTCTCTGGGGGAACGTCTTGTGGGTGGGCTGCTCTAACTGATGAAGAGGAGCAGCGAGCCTTTCCCTTCAGGCCGTCTCCGTTTCTTTTATGTTGCGTAAGGCTAATCTTACTGGGCCCGCTGGTTCCTTGTCACACAGCTGGTGCTGTATGTTTAAGCTATCACCCGCCTGCGGCTGCTTGACCTCCAGGCAGAGACACCGGCCAGAAGCTCTGAGCGGGTCTCGGCCAGTAAACGAGGCGCCGAGCACTTCGCTCGCTGAGCGGCGATCAGCACTCGTCTGCTGGGTTATTTTGGAAACTATGTCCAGCATCATGCGTGTAGATCCGATCCAGTTTCCTCAGAATGACGTGACACGTTTTGGGTGAGGTAAAGGTGAGGTCAGTGGTGTGAAGCTAATTTCATCTCTAAAACGTTGCAGCTGCTGAGATAATGAGTGATGATGTGTTTGAGATGGAGAAGCGTCACAAATAAAAGGCTTGATCCTCCGCTGCCTCCCGCTCGCGGCTTCTGTCTGCTGGTGTTTATTTCTCTGGCTGCCAACCCCCCCCCCCCCCCCCCCCCCCCCGCCCCCCCCCCCCCATGCCAAGGCGAAGCCTAAATCCCAACCTTGAGGCTGTCAATCATCACTGGGTGGTTATGTTTATTTACAGGAGCTAAGCCCCGTTTTCATAATGATCCAACTAAAGCCTATTAAGTGACACGCAATAATAAGAGTGCTCCACCTCGGGCTCAGTCTAATTGTTGGTTAACAAAGACGTGGATCCAGATGCTTCGGTGCCGCCGCTAAGCTCCTGTGTTTAGATAAACCAGCTGAGACGAGGCTCTGATTGTTTTTGTTTCTTCAAACAGCAATTTAAGAAGAACCTGAAGGGTGTGAATGGAAACAAGGACTTTGACCAGGACATGCTGGAGGACATCTACAGCGCCATCAAGTAAGCTGCTGAACGCTCCACCCAGCTGTCCTGACTCCCGCGACTCCGACGTGGTGATCCCAGCTGTTCCGGGTTTTTAGCACCGAAGCTCGGTGGAGTTAAGATTGTGCTGTAACAGCTGACGCTTCATTCGTGTCTTATTATTATCATTATTATTATCATCATCATCATTATTATTATTATTATTATTATTGTTATTATTATTATCATTATTATTATTATTATTATTATTATAATAATAATAATAATAATAATAATAATAATAATAATAATAATAATAATAATTATTATTATTATTATTATTATTATTATTATTATTATAAATAATTATCATTACTATTATTATTGTCATTACAATAATAATAATTATTATTACCATTATTATTATTAATAAATCCAGGGATTTTACTGGTGTGCAGTTATAAAACACACCCGACCTGTATCTCCATGGTGGTTTTGGGTCTCCACCTCCAACACTGCATGCGACCAATCACGTTGCAGTGATTTCATGGGTTAAGGTTCGGCCAGGGCTATAGCAAAAGAGTGGGAAAGCACATCATATGAGTTCTGCTGGTGTTCTCCTGCAGTTAAATTCATCAGGTTTAAAAAACGTGCTGCTTCAGAATAAAACCTCTTGTCATTCAGACCTGTAGTGGGCGGAGCTTGGACCACTTCCTAGTAAAAACAAAACGAATATTTAATAGCTGGTGGTCGCATTAATGTGGTTGTTATTGGGATCTAATCCATGCACATGCTTAATATGAAAATAATAAACAGAATAGCCCTAACCCATTAGCATTAGCCTAGCTTCAGCAGTGAGCATCATCTTGACTTGTTAACCTCTAATATGAAGCTTCTTTTTATTAGGCCATTAGCAAACTCATCCAAAATTTTCCCTGTTTTTTTCTGGATTCACTGAGTTATGACATCACTGCAGCATGATTGGCTGGTTGGTTTTGGGCCTAAAGGTTACAGGTTCTACCTGAAACAAACCAGATGAGAGCAAACACCTGGTTAAATATCTGAGGTTTCCTCTGGTGGCTCCAGCTGAGGTTTCGTCTGCACAGGAACATGAAGAGATTGTGATGCCAGATGAGCAGACATGGACTGGTGAAGGAGAACTATGTGTGGAGCGTGTTGCTGCAACCGCGGAGCCACACCTGAGGGGATTTTCCTCCACCTTCCAGCCGGCAGCTATGACCACGACCTGTTCACCATGACTTGGGGTCCCACCATTGCTGCTCTTTCCTTCGTGTTTGACAAGAGCCTCGATGATGCCATCCTCCAGAAGGCAATCATGGGCTTCAGGTACACGGGTCATGGACCGTCTGCTTTAACTGTTTGGTTTAGCTGCTCCTCTGTAGCTAATAGATCAGGGTGAGGTCACCTCTCCTTGCTGAGTCCACGTGTGTTTGTTTATGTGAGATCTGGGCTCGTTTGTGTGTTTGTAGAAAATGTGCCATGATCGCAGCTCACTATGGCTTCCAGTGATGTTTTTGACAACTTGATCATCTCCCTCTGCAAGTTCACACTTTGAGCAGCGAGGTGAGCCAGAACTGTTGTCTCTATAGGTGGTTTCTCTCCTCAGCATCAGCAGCTCCACATCAACTAAACCAGCTGAATGGATTCCAATCACAGTTAAATAATGTTATCCACAATGATCAGAAAGATGAGATTCCATTGATGGTTTGTCTTTTTTCACACATGAATAAAAATCATTTTATAACAAACATCCAGCATGGCAGCAGGAGCCACACTGACGTGCTCATTACTCCTGCAGTCTGTGGAGAACCTTCCTACGGTGTTCGGCAGCAACAATAAGGCTCAGACCGCAGCCAAGACTGTGTTTGACCTCGCCCATCGTCACGGCAACATCCTGAGGGAGGGGTGGAAGAATATCATGGAGTCCATGCTGCAGCTGTTCAGAGCTCAGCTCCTGCCTAAAGCCATGGTGGAAGTAAGGCTGGCTCTTGTCAGAGAAAACTACATCATCTACTGCACCTGCTGTTCACTGTGTGTGTGTGTGTGTGTGTGTGTGTGTGTGTGTGTGTGTGTGTGTGTGTGTGTGCGCGCGTGCGTGTGGTTCCCTCAGGTGGAGGACTTTGTGGAGCCTAATGGAAAAATTTCCCTTCAGCGGGAGGAGACTCCTTCAAATCGGTAAATCTGAACCAACAGCTTAATACGTATCCTACGGGTGTTAACTGTCTCCCATAGGTTACCTGTCTCCTATAGGTGTTACCTGTCTCCTATAGGTGTTACCATACCTGTTTCCCATAGGTTTACCTTTCACCTATAGGTGTTACCATACCTGTCTCCTATAGGTGTTACCCTACCTGTCTCCTATAGGTGTTAAGTTACCTGTCTCCTATAGGTGTTACCTTACCTGTCTCCAATAGGTGTTACCTTACATGTCTCCTATAGGTGTTACCTGTCTCCTATAGGTGTTACCTTACCTGTCTCCCATAGGTGTTACCTGGTCCTACAGGTGTTAAATTACCTGTATCCTATAGGTGTTACCTGTCTCCCATAGGTGTTACTGTCTCCTATAGGTGTTACCCGGTCTCCTATAGGTGTTAAATTACCTGTCTCCTATAGGTGTTACCTGTCGCCTATAAGTGTTAACTTACCTGTCTCCTATAGGTGTTACCATACCTGTCTCCTATAGGTTACCTGTCTCCTATAGGTGTTACCTGTCTCCTATAAGTGTTAACTTACCTGTTTCCTATAGGTGTTACCTTACCTGTCCTATAGGTGTTACCATACCTGTCTCCTATAGGTTACCTGTCTCCTATAGGTGTTACCTTACCTGTCTCCCATAGGTTTCCTGTCTCCTATAGGTGTTACCATACCTGTCTCCTATAGGTTACCTGTCTCCTATAGGTGTTACCTTACCTGTCTCCTACAGGTGTTACCATACCTGTCTCCTATAGGTGTTACCTTACCTGTGTCCTATAGGTGTTAAGTTACCTGTGTCCTATAGGTGTTAAGTTACCTGTCTCCTATATGTGTTACCTTACCTGTCTCCTATAGGTGTTACCTGTCTCCCATAGGTGTTACCTTACCTGTCTCCCATAGGTGTTACCTGTCTCCTATAGGTGTTACCTGTCCTACAGGTGTTAAATTACTTGTCTCCTATAGGTGTTACCTTACCTGTCTCCCATAGGTGTTACCTGTCTCCTATAGGTGTTACCGGTCTCCTATAGGTGTTAAATTACCTGTCTCCTATAGGTGTTACCTGTCTCCTATAAGTGTTAACTTACCTGTCTCCTATAGGTGTTACCATACCTGTCTCCTATAGGTTACCTGTCTCCTATAGGTGTTGCCTTACCTGTCTCCTACAGGTTACCTGTCTCCTATAGGTGTTACCTTACCTGTCTCCTACAGGTGTTACCATACCTGTCTCCTACAGGTGTTACCATACCTGTGTCCTATAGGTGTTAAGTTACCTGTCTCCTATATGTGTTACCTTACCTGTCTCTAATAGGTGTTACCTTACCTGTCTCCTATAGGTATTACCTGTCTCCGATAGGTGTTAAGTTACCTGTCTCCCATAGGTGTTACCTGTCTCCTATAGGTGTTACCTGTCTCCTATAGGTGTTACCTTACTTGTCTCCTATAGGTGTTACCTGTCTCCTATAAGTGTTACCTTACCTGTCTCCTATAGGTGTTGTCTTCAGGAGTTCTTCTGTTTATATTAACACATTCTTGAAGAACCTGAGTTTCTGTACTAAAGCCTTTTGAAGACATATTTTAATGACTCATTTCATCATGATGTCTGACTAAACGCTGTTTCCGTCCTGTTTGCCGCAGCGGTGAGTCCGCTGTTCTGAGTTTCGTGAACTGGTTGACCCTGAGTGGGGCGGAGCAGTCAGGACTGAGGGGGCCATCCACAGAAAACCAGGAGGCCAAGCAGGCCGCCGTGGTCTGCATCAAGGTACAACAGAATGTTTATCCTTCATCAGTAGAATGAAATAGATTCTACTTTTAATTATTTCATAACGTTTCACTGTTTTTTAATCAGCCGGTCTTAGAAAACACTAACATGACTCACTTTTACAGAAGCTGATCTGAAAGTTAACGTGTTAGTTCCGACCAATCACAGCAAAGATGTCAGAGGAAATCAGACTCGGCATCATTTAACCGAAAAAATCTAGAATCTCATCGTTTTACAAAAAAAGATGATCTTAGCTTAAACTCTGGCATCAAAGACGTGTGTGTGTATGCGTGTGTGTGTGTGATAAAGAGAGGGGGTGAGTAATTGTTAGTGGGAGGGAAACCCCTCCAGTAATGTTTCTGCTCTGTCGCACACCGGTTAAAGACCCTCTTTCCCCCCCCCCCCCCCCCCCCCAGCAGCAATGTGACCCAGAGAAGCTGATAACGGAGAGTAAGTTCCTCCAGCTGGAGTCTCTACAGGAGCTGATGAAGGTTTGTATTCATATGAAAGTATTTGTGGCGCAGCTTGTAAATGTTCTGCTGAGGAGAATCCTGATGTTTCTCCTCAGGCGCTGATATCCGTCACTCCTGACGAGGAGACGTACGATGAAGAAGATGCTGCCTTCTGCCTGGAGATGCTGCTGCGGATTGTTTTGGAAAACCGGTATGAAGGAGAACCTGCACCAGAACCGCACCCAGTCAGGGTTATGGTTAGGCTGATGTCTGTGTGTGTGTGTGTGTGTGTGTGTGTGTGTGTGTGTGTGTGTAGGGACCGTGGGTTGTGTGTTTGGCAGACCGTGAGGGACCACCTCTACCACCTCTGTGTTCATGCTGCGGAGAGCTGCTTCCTGGTGGAGAGGGCCGTGGTGGGACTCCTTCGACTCGCCATCCGCCTGCTGCGGCGAGAGGACGTCAGCTCTCAGGTACGGAAAGCAGACATGTAGATGATGTTTAGATTCAAGTTTCCTTCCCGAGGAAACCTTCAACTGTGAGGTGAGAAGGTCTGGTATCACAGAAGGAGCGGGACCACCTGACCCACTGGTGTAAGGGCTGAGATGGGCTGGACCAGTGGTGCTACAGCCGCTTCTCTCTGTGAATCTACAGGTTCTCCTCTCCCTGCGCCTCCTTCTGATGATGAAACCACACGTGTTGTCCCGAGTCAGCAGGGAGGTGGCCTACGGCCTCCATGAGCTGCTGAAGACCAACGCTGCTAACATCCACTGCACAGACGACTGGTACACCCTCTTCTCCCTGCTGGAGTGCATCGGAGCAGGAATCAAACCTCCCGCCTCCTTCCAGCTCGCCGCCACTACAGCCGACAGCGACACAGGTTCAGTATTTGTGCCACCAGATCATTACCGACCCGTGGAAGTCTTCGTGCCTGGGCTGGCTTACACCGGTGGTTAGTAGTTAAAACATGGTGTGGGATGACATCATCAGGTTGTCTGGGTCATGTTAGCATCTAGATCAGAGCTCTAGCAGGAAACAGACCAGGGTTAAAAGGGCTCTCATCCTTGAAAAGGCTTGAAGGTTTTCAAGGTGCTTGAATTATGAGTAAAGTGCTTCAGATGAGTCCTAGCCCGACAACATTGTTCCAGAAACAAAAAGCAAATGTAACGATGCAGTGTCACGGTGTGGAGGGAAGGTGAGGGAGGAAGAGCGGATCCTTCAGGCAGGTAAATCAACCCAGGCCAGACAGCAGCAGACATTTGGTTCCTCTTTAATGGTCAGGAGTGCAGATACGACAGGGTAGACACAAACGGACATGTAACGAGTACGAACCGACAAACACACTAGCAACACACAAGGCTTATATACACACTGGGATGGGTAATCAGGTAACAAGAGGCAGGTGGACACAATAAAGGAAAAACTCAAGGCACAGGGGAGCAATAATGTGACATACAGATTATCACTACGGTCCTGGAAACCCCGGAAAGTGCTTGAATCTGTTGTCAGAGGTAATTTTCTCAACCTGCAGTAACAGGTGTGTGTGTGTGTGTGTGTGTGTGTGTGTGTGTGTGTGTGCACGCGTGCAGGTGCGCAGTCAGACAGCGAGCTGACCTCTCATCACTCCAGTGAGGTGAGTCTAGACCGCGGCTACACCTCCGACTCCGAGGTCTACACTGACCACAGCAAGACCAGGATACCACGCTCCACCACGGAGGTGGATGTGGCCAGCAGCGGATGGCTGGTGGTTCGTACACACACACACACACACACACACACATGCACGCACACACTTTCTCGCTCCCTCTCTCTCTCTCTCTCTCTCACACACACACACACACACACACACACGCACACACACACTTTCTCGCTCCCCCCCTCTCTCTCTCTCTCTCTCTCTCTCTCTCTCTCTCTCTCTCTCTCTCTCTCACTCACACACACACACAGATGTAGATAGTGGAATGTTCTAGTTTTGAATTCCCTCCACTTCTGCTCTGGTTGGTTCTGATGTACAACCATCCAGATGTTCTACAGATGAGTTCCTGAACTTTTCCAGCCTGGTTCCCCTTTAGTGACATCACTGCTGCTGCTCAGCACCACAGATGGTCCTGAAGCTCAAACACAGAACGAACCGTCAGCGGCTGTTTCAGCTCTTAGCTTTATCCTATCAAATACCACGAACCTTCGTAGCTACGTGGAGACATCTTCATTGTGGTTAGAGCCTGAGATGCAGGAAATGGAGATCTGAGTAAAGCCCTGCTGGATTCCTAAACTTTTGTGTTAAAATGTGTTTACTTCTAAAGCAGCTTCAAAATACCGCTGAGGTCAGTTCTGGGTTTGAACACCATACGGCTGACCTTAGACCTGCTGGTTAGGAGTTCCTGCAGGTAGATCGCATCAGCCTCTCATGCTTTGTTGTGTTTGTAGGTTGGAAAAGACGATCTGGAGATGAGCAACCCCGGCCCGCCCAGCTCCAAAGCTCAGCTCAGTCACCCTCTGGTGAACCAGTACAGTCTGACTCTGGGTCAGGATCCGGGTCAGCATGACACCAAGTCTCTCCTCAAGTGTGTGGAGACGCTGTCATTCATCGTCCGAGACGCCGCCCACGTCACCCCGGACAACTTTGAGCTGTGTGTGAGAGCCATACGGGTGTTTGTGGAGGCTAGCCTCAACGGAGGTGAGGCGTTCAAACACACTGGGAACTTTCAGCTTCTAGTCTTTGTTGTTCAACCGCAAAATGAAGTGGAAAGTTTAAGAAAGTGAGATGTTAAGGTCAGTAGCTGTGAATATCAGGAGGTGTGATGCGTGAACGCGAGGAACCGAGTGTTCTCCAGGGTCCTGCAGGTTTAATCTGATGAACACCCCCTACCCCAATCTCAGCTCTGCTGATAATCCCAATCTGCTGCCTCAGGTTACCGGAACCACGACAAGAAGAAGAGCCACAAGTATGACCCCTCCAAGTCCCGGATCAGGAAGAAAGCTGTTGGGAGGGAGAAGGAAGCGGCGAGTGGCACACGGCGGGGCGGCAGCAGAGCGTCAAGCCAGCGTCCATCACGTTCCCATAGCGACGAGGAGGAGGACGAGGGTGTCCCAGCCAGCTATCATACTGTGTCTTTACAGGTTAGTCAGGATGTAAGTACAATAACCCTCCTTACCCTTCTACCTGTGGTTGGTTCAGACTCACGTCCTGGTGCTCCTCAGCTGGGTTACTAAGAAAATTGACCCTTTGCACCTGCATCACCTGATCACGAGGGTCCATTATTGCACAGCTGCAGTGAACGTCGGGAGTGTTGAACGGAGAGGTGAAGTGGCGACAGGTTGTTTGCCAGTTTAGCCTGGTTTGTACTGGTTTCAGCCCAGTTCAGCTGTGGGAAGCTTTAGCACACCTAGGTGGGGCTCATTTACAAAAGCTACGTGTTGGCTAGCTAGCTTACGCTCAGCCTGCTGCTGCATGGAAACAAGTCGCCAGACTTCCTCGGCTGGATTTCTGACATGTTCTAAACAGAGTTTCACTCTAACTGGAGCAGATTAAACAACTAAGAGTCTGGATCCCGCTACGGCTCTCACGCCGGGGTGGGACAAGATATCCCATAACGGCGACGCTCGTCCTGCTAAATAAATAACTGTTTGTTCACACGTAATCCTGCTGTGTTACTAGTATCTAGTAATGCCCTACAGCAGACGGTAGCACATGTTCTCCATGGTGAATTTATCAAAACTAAATAAATAATACAAACATTCACCATTTCAGCTCCAACAGTCAGCTAGTCTCACGAAACGTGAACGTTAGTTTTGCCGGTAAAATGTGTTCGCCGTAGATCTGGAAACACGTTGAGGGCTGATGGTCCATTACCGTCCTCCATCTCCATCAAAGTCCTTAAAAACAGACGAGTTGAGTTCACACATGTCTGTGGGAACTTCACAGGAGTTTCAACGTGTGTAAACCGCTTCTCTGTCGTGGCGAACGGAGCGGTCCTGAGCGCCGTGATGTCACCTGCAAAGGGTCATGCCTGGGTCATAATGTTGTGGCTGATTGTTGCTAATAGAGAACATAACCAGATGTATCATGTTTCCTTCTGAGCTCCAGATGTTTGTTCTTTTTGACCCTGATCTTTGTTGTCCTGCAGCTGCTGGACCTGATGCACACCCTGCACACCCGGGCGGCCAGCATCTACAGCTCATGGGCGGAGGAGCAGCGCCATCTAGAGGCCTCGGGCAAGAAGATTGAAGCAGACTCCCAGACTCTGTGGACCAGCTGCTGGTGCCCTCTGCTGCAAGGTGGGACGTCACTTCACACTCAGAATGGGACTTCCTGGAGAACCAGTCTACGGACAGGGAGATGTTCGTCTGAGACTCCATCAGATTTGTTTAGACCTTCCTACCTGTGTCCTGCTGTCCATTAAATCCCAATTGTCTTTTGTCATGTCCAAACCTCAGGTGTGTCCTCAGGCTGCAGACACGTCTCAGACTCGATGTAAATCATTTACAGGTTTTTAGTTTTAGAACTAGTCACTCTTTACTAGGACCTGAAGGTCCTGGTTGCTTGGTAATAGACTCCAGAAGGTCCTGGTTGCTCTGTAACAGACTCATGAAGGTTCCGGTTGCTCAGTAACAGACTCGTGAAAGTCCCGGTTGCTCGGTAACAGTCTTGTGAAGGTTCCGGTTGCTCGGTAACAGATTTGTGAAGTTCCCGGTTGCTCGGTAACAGACTCGTGAAGGTCCCGGTTGCTCGGTAATAGACTCGTGAAGGTCCGGGTTGCTCGGTAACAGACTCTTGAAGGTCCCGGTTGCTCGGTAACAGACTCGTGAAGGTCCCGGTTCCTCGGTAACAGACTCGTGAAGGTCCCGGTTGCTCGGTAACAATCTCGTGAAGGTCCCGGTTGCTCGGTAACAGACTCGTGAAGGTCCCGGTTGCTCGGTAACCGACTCGTGAAGGTCCCGGTTGCTCGGTAATCGACTCTTGAAGGTCCCGGTTGCTCGGTAACAGACTCTTGAAGGTCCCGGTTGCTCGGTAACAGACTCGTGAAAGTCCCGGTTGCTCGGTAACAGACTCGTGAAGGTCCCGGTTGCTTGGTAACAATCTCGTGAAGGTCCCGGTTGCTCGGTAACAGACTCGTGAAGGTCCCGGTTGCTCTGTAACAGACTCGTGAAGGTCCCGGTTGCTCGGTAACAGACTCGTGAAGGTCCCGGTTGCTCTGTAACAGACTCGTGAAGATCCCGGTTGCTCGGTAACAGGCTCGTGAAGGTCCCGGTTGCTCAGTAACAGACTCGTGAAGGTCCCGGTTGCTCGGTAACAGACTCGTGAAGGTCCCGGTTGCTCTGTAACAGACTCGTGAAGGTCCCGGTTGCTCGGTAACAGGCTCGTGAAGGTCCCGGTTGCTCAGTAACAGACTCGTGAAGGTCCCGGTTGCTCTGTAACTTTGATGTTTCCTGTGCAGGCATTGCCTGGCTGTGCTGTGATGCCAGGCGGCAGGTCCGTATGCAGGCCCTCACCTACCTCCAGAGGGCGCTGCTCGTCCACGATCTGCAGACGCTCGATGCCACGGAATGGGAATCATGCTTCAATAAGGTGAGAAATCAAGGAGGTTCAGTTACCTTCAGTCGCGACTCCCAGATCAGAGCATTGAGCTGAATCTGTGGGCTCTTCCAGGTTCTATTCCCACTTCTGACAAAGCTGCTGGAGAACATCAGCCCTGCAGATGTTGGTGGTATGGAGGAGACCAGGATGAGAGCCTGCACGCTGCTGTCAAAGGTCTGGTCTTCTGTTTGTATGGGATTTGGATTGGGGATGTGATCTGGAGCTTTCCATTATGTTTCCTGTCTGTTTGCAGGTCTTCCTGCAGCACCTCTCCCCCTTGCTGTCCCTGCCCACCTTCGCAGCCCTCTGGCTCACTATTCTGGATTTCATGGATAAGTACATGCATGCTGGATCCAGCGACCTGCTGGTGAGTGATCGGGTCACGGAGAAGCTTGTAGGGTTTGGGAAATTGAGTGCTTTAGGAGCTCATTATATATAATACCTCTACTTATGACCAATAAGCTGTGATACTCTATCTAAATATAGAATATCAACCCTGCTTGGTCTTTACCGTGTTTCATCAGAACATCTAGGATTTATCGTTTATCAGGGGATTGTACACACTTTGTTTTGATTCAGAAAACAGTCAGGTTTATAAAAGTAAGAATTTATTCTACCAACAATTAAAACATGACAAGTTAACTAACATTTACTGTGATGGATGGAACTAGATGTGATGTATGAACCTATGTGTGAATGCAATGTTAACAGAACTTCTAGGAGAGCTGAGTTGTGGATGTAAAAGAATTTGGTTTGCGTTAAGCTATGAAGTTGATCATCATCAAAAACACATCAGACACTATCTGTGTGTCTACTTCACCCGTTATCGGAGACCCTCTTGGTTGATCCGAAGGTCAGAGAGGTCGGGTGACCTCTGGCACCGAGGGCTGTAGAATACCGTGGCACCGACTCTCCAGTCCAGAGATGTCTCGGGTCACGACAGATGGATAGAACCGCGTGTCTGGGACTCTGAAGGAGTCTAAACAATATCAGCTTGTTCTGCAGGAACTGTTACTGTATCAGCTTCGCAGGTGCAAAAAGGTTTTGACGACGTGTCAAAAGCTTTGATGGTTAGAGAGGGTTTTGCTTCAGATGGCTGGTCTGAAGCTTCCTCAAGAACTGATGAATCACCAGAGTTTTAATGTTCTCATGTTATGATTTGTGTAGCCAACCAGAGGTTGACAAGTTGAGGAATATTACCAAGAATCTCAGAAACACGCCTTCATTGATCCTTATGCTCTGATCTGGGGTAAAGGACCATCTATGTGTCATGAGTTTAACCTATAGGGACTTTACGGAGTTTTGAATTTTTATGCTCGCGATTGCCCCCTCAGGCCAAAAGTGTAACGGCAGCTTCAATAGTAGGCTCGTGCATGAGGCGCGCATGCTGTACGTGCACACTCCTTAACGAAAATAACAGCTGAGACAGTCCCGTGTGTGTGTGTGTGGGTGGCCCAGAGGACAGGAGAACACGCAGCTAATTAATTAAATAATTCGGTTTTGTACCTTTCTCTTCAGCACAGCCGACAAAGGTTTATGATGGGTCAGTCCTCCTGCATGCTCAGATCATTCCCTTCCCTTGCTTGAAAAATTGTTCCAAAATGAAAGTTGAACCCACATCTTTTTTATCTGTGAATTCAATGCCGTTCGGCGAGTCTCAAATAAAAATTTGGGCATCTTACTGTAAAAAAAATATACCATTAATGTAAAAAAGAAACTCTAAATAAACTATGTTGACATCCAGAATCGAACCCAGGTCTTCCGCACGAGAGTCCGACGTCTTACTAGGTGAGCTAAAGCGCCAGTGATGTCCTTTGTTCTGTGACTTTGATATCCTTGATGACAGCTGAAACAACGTCAACCCAAAGAACGGTTCGGAGCGAAAATGGCTATTTTGTTGCTAATTTGCATGAAATATCTAGAAGAAAGTTCTACAGAAAGTAGCTAAGGGTCCTCACAAATGTAGCTGGGTTCATCACTAGGCATTAGGAACAGCGACAAAGTCGCTGAGTTGGCACTACCTCTCTCTGCTGCTAAAGCTACGGATAGCAAATGCTACGGGCGATGCCTGAGTGTGAACGCGCATGAAGCAGCCTGCTCGACCCAAGCAGCTCTCTTTTTCTGTGATTTTACAGAAAAACAGGCAATCACAGTAAAAATGCCAGGGCTCATTCTACAGGACCATCGCATTGCAGGAGAATGTATGAAGAAGAAATTTCTTATTTCTGTACATGTTTTGGCTGTCAAACTTCCTTATAGTCCCTTTAACTTTACTTTGTCCATGTGTGAGTGCAAATGGTGATGAGCTTGTCATATAAACATGCTGAAACATATTTCAATCACATTTCCAACTTCAATCATTGAGCATGGATTAATGAAAGCACTTCATTATACTATAATTATTATAAGTAGCCATAAACAAACGCTTATTTACTGATTATCTAGCTTATACGTTTTAAAGTTCATATTTAATTTAAGAAATCATTCTTTGATTTAGCAACTAATCCGAGCTGTGAGTTCTCCTTATTCAGAGGCATGAAGTATCGATAAGGGAAGCTTGAACCTTGAGGAGAGAACATCATTGTTGACAATTCGTTATCATGTGTTCAGAGCTGCAGAGAGGCTCTGAGCTCCAGCTGGTGGGATGAAGGCGGGCCAATTTAAAGGGAACACATGCAGTCTCGTGTCTCCATTTTGACCAGATGTTGAAGGGTCAAACAGTACCTAAAAACTGACCATTGCTGGACGTTACAAGCTCGTTACAATGACCTTCTGACCTGCTGCTTTCTGCTTTTGTAGCTGGAGGCCATCCCAGAGTCCCTGAAGAACATGCTGCTGGTGATGGACACGGCCGGGATCTTCCACAGCACAGACTCCAGGACGGGATACTCGGATCTGTGGGAGATTACCTGGGAGCGCATCGTCTGCTTCTTGCCCAACCTGAGGGAGGAACTTTTTAAACAGACCGTCATGCCAGGTAGGCAGCACCTCTCTGTTGCCATGGTTACGGAAAAGGCCTGATGGAAATATTTATGTTTTCAGCTCTGCAGTAATAGTACTTGTACTTTAATGATATTTTGATGATACTTTCATGGTTTGATCCAACGGCAGCACGAAGGTAACTTACCGTGTGTGTGTGTGTGTGTGTGTGTGTGCGTGCGTGCGCGGGCGGGCACCTTCTCTCATCTTTAGATCCAAATTACGGTTCTGCAGCAGATCCCGTTCAGCCGACACCAACAGGAGGGCACCCTCCCTCCCCTCCAGCGTCGCCGCCTCGGGCCCAGTCCCCCTCCCTGGTACCGGTGACCCCTGCAGAGGTTCAGTCCTCCATCAGACCTGATTCTCCCGTGGAGCCACAGCTGGCCGGTACCAACGGTAAAGTCCCATCAGGACGAGTTCTGCCGGCTCCTGCAGGTCTGTCCTCACCATGTCTGTTCTCTGTTTCAGGATCCGATCGCTCGTCTCCGGTACCGCCCTCCAGTCCTCCACTACCGGCTCCGATAGGGACGACCCCCCCCCAGGTTCGGGCTCTAAGTCAGCCCCCCCTCATCCTCCAGCCCTTAGCGTCCCCCCTGCAGGTGGGAGTCCCGCCCATGTCCCTCCCGATCATCCTGAACCCCGCCCTGATCGAGGCCACATCCCCAGTACCGCTGCTGCCCGGGCCCAAAACCACAAGTCCCTCTGACGAGGTCCAGTAGAAGTCTGCCAGCTCCCCAGCACCCCATGTGACTCTGTTCTAAAACATAGGTGGTCGATCTTCTAATCTCAGCTCAGTAAACAGGCAGGTACCAGGTGAGGTCCGGTCCAACTGACCCACTTGGTTCCTAAAGCCCAGACACTGTTTAAGATTCAGGATTTAGCTCGCAGACCCTTCTAAAGTTCCAAAAATGCATCTCTTCAGAACAAAAGCAAACCTGTTTGGTAGACACACACACACACAGACGCACGCACACACACACACACACACACACACACACACACACACACACACACACGTTCAACATTCCACACGAGTTGCAGGAAGTTCCTGCTTACAGGTTGTTTATGGATCAGCTGATCTGGGAGCAGGACGGATTAGTTTAGTTTCTCCTTCAGTGTCAGGTCTAAAATCAGATGAACATTTTAACTCCAACTGGATCTGAGCCATAGTGAGTTGTTTGGACTTCTGTAACCGGACCGGATACCGGATCCTCTTGGGGCGTTCATACGTCTCCCTGCAGCTCTTTCTGAACCCCTCTTGGGTTGAATCGTCAGACGTTCAGCTGCTGTCCGTCTGAGACGAGCTTCTCGAGGACAAACCCAAACCTCCACATCCACATGGTATTTAATCTGGGATTTAATCCACTCTCTAAATTTTCCAATCTCACAGGAAGTAGTCAGCTCGGTTTCCAGTTGCTTCCAGATGTTGTTGCATGCTGGTTGCTCCTCTGTGTGCAACAGCCTGAGCGTCAAACCTGATATTTAATGTTATTTATTGAAGTGGGAAGCGGAGGCGGATCAGTGGGAGTCGGGGAACACCACAGCCTTACGTTCTCCGACACCAATGCTGTGTCTCGGTGTGTTGTACGAGACTTCGTTTTATCAGGAGCTAAAATCGTGATGATTACAGGAAAATGTGTACAAATATATAAATATAAATTAAACGTAATGTGCTTTTTACAATAAATACGGTGTAAATGTTCATCCTGTTTGTGATGTTTTTTTTTCTGCTCGTCGCTGGAAATCAAGTCTCATGTGACTCAAACGAATCCGCACTCACCAACAGTCACATGGAGTTATTCACTAATCTGTCCCCGACCCCTCCCACAGTGGCCTGAGCAGAACCCCCAAGGAACTGGTTTCACTGATAAATAACATCTTCCATGTTTAACCATCCATCCATTGTCTGGATCCGCTTGTCCGGGGGGGGGGGGGGGGGGGGGGGGGGGGGTGCTGGTGCCTATCTCCAGCGGTCAATGGGCAATCGGGCGGGGTACACCCTGGACAGAGAGCCAGTCCATCGCAGGGCAACACAGAGACACACAGGACAAACAATCATGCACACACACACTCACACCTAAGGACAATTTAGACAGACCAATTAACCTAACAGTCATGTTTTTGGACGGTGGGAGGAAGCCGGAGAACCCGGAGAGAACCCACGCATGCACAGGGAGAACATGCAAACTCCATGCAGAAAGATTCCAGGCCGGGAAGCGAACCCAGGACCTTCTTGCTGCAAGGCAACAGCTCTAACCACTGCACCACTGCGCAGCGTCCGTGTTTAACCCTTCCAGTTAACTCGCTAAAACTCGATTCGTTTTTTTGTTCTTGAGACTTATTTTTCCCATACTCTCTGAAGTTGTGTCCAGGCGATCCGCACGGTTTCTACGGTAACGGAACATTTGAGCAGTCTGGTGTAAAACATCTGACTTTTATTTCAAAGCATGAGAAGAATCACATTTTTTAGAAACTATCAAACTACAGAGGCAATTAGGAACGACACAGAAACATGAGAACAGAAAACGGTGAAACGAGACGATAATAGCAAACCGGAAAGTTACAAAGGATCTAATCTGAAAAGCTCCTGACGAGACAGGCGGAACAGAACGAGAACGAGAACGGGAACGGCGCTCCACTCTAGAACCCTCCTCTCAGCGGCGCCTCCTGCTGGCTCACCCCCCCACAGCCGAGGCTGCGTTTAGGAAAACCGCTCCACGCTCCTCACTTGCTGTCCAGCTTGGCCATTTCCTGCAGGTAGATCCCAATGCTCTCGCTGTCGAACAGCACAAAGTAAATGTTTTTCAGGGAGGAGCTGGTGGAGGACACAAAGTGGTTGGAGATGGCCTTGAGGATGAGCTGAGCTGCCGTTTGCTTCGGAAAGCCATTCCTGAGGGATAGAGGCAGGACTTTAGGGAGGAGACGACTACAGCAGGTTAAACGGATGAAACAGGCTGCGATGTTTCTAAGATGAGGAGTGCACATTCCATAAACTGAACACCGGACAATCCAGACTCTTCATGTGTCGTTCCAGATGCGGAATGACCTACCAAGCACTACCTGAACAGGTAGTTCGAATTGTCGATTTTCAAGAAACTCCTGAAGCTCTTCAGAGAGCATCTTCTAAACTAGGACACACTCCTTGTTAACTTCCCTCTGAGTCATCACTGCCACCTAGGACTGATTGGTTAGTGTTTGTTGTTAGCCTCAAGAGCAACCTGCTGCTTCATCACCTGGAAGTCTCTTTGGACAAAAGTGTCTGCTAAACACATAAACATGAATTCTGATGAAACATTCAGAAGCCGCCCGGGTGGGAGGTGTTCGTAGGGATGGAGCTCACCGTCCAGCTGGAAGTGACGGGAAAGCCACAGACTTCAGCTTCTTCTCCTCGGCGGCTGACAGGCAGTTCTTCACCGTCTTCTCCAGCTGGTCCTCACATTTGTCCGATCCCCACTGAGGGACGTTACAGTGGATGACGAAGCGGGCCGCCAACCCGCTGGCCTGGCTCACCGCCACTGCAGCACAGAGCACATGGGACCATGTCACACCAGGACCAAAGTCAAGGCTAAATGGTACTGAAGTGGATCCTTACTGGGTGGAACTGGACTGGAATCAACCAGACTGTTTACTCAGACTGGTGAACGTATCGGAAGAACTGAAGTATTAAAGCAGCAATCCCAAGTTTCCCACTTTCAGGAATCATGAACAGGAATTTTTTAGAAATCCGTAAATCCGGTCAGGTCATACCAAAGACTTTGAAAAAAAATAAAGGGACCCAATGCCTCCCTGCTTGACACTCAGCATTAGGGGTTGGATTGGGGGGTTAAACCACCAAATGGTCCCTGAGCACGGCCGTGTGTGCAGCTCACCACTCCCCCAGGGGATGGGTCAAATGTGGAGAACACATTTCGTACACACATCACTACACCCTACACATCAATGTGTGTGTGTATACATATATACATATATATATATATATATATACACACACACACACACGCACACACAATCATGATAAAATTAAAGTGGCAAAACAGAGAAACGACTAGTGTAGTTACTGATCCGCGCGGATCAGTTCAGGTACAAACAACATAAGCTGTGATATACTTTCCACCTCTAGATGATGTCCTCTGAGAATAAACTCTGGATTTCTGCATCAAGATACTATCAGGAGAAGGTACGTACCTGATGCCACCTCCAGAGGCCCCTGAGCTTTGCGCAGCTCCTTGACTGCCTCCAGGAACTCTCTGCCTCCAGCTTTCTCCAGAGCGTTTCCTGAAACCGTAACGGCGGCGTGAGAAAGACCTGGCGTCACCAATGCAGAAGAAGGTCACGTGTCTCCTTACCGACTCCATCTTTGAGGTCCATCTCTGCATTTGTTGGGTTAATTATTCCCTCCACCTTGATAGAACCGATCTTGCTCATTTCACTCTCTGTTAATGAGAGCTGTAGACACACACACACACACACACCATCATCTTCAGCTGCTGGCTGGATTATGGGCGTTCAATCAGCTTACCTTCTGACCCAGAAACAGGCTCTTTGCTGACAGGATGGTGAAGCCGTCTCCAGGTCCGTCTTCCACAGACGAACTCGGTAGAGACTCTTTGTCACCATCTGTGGTCTTTAAGAGAAGAAAATGTTTCCTTTGAACCACATTTGGATCTTAAATGAGCCGGTTTTCATTTGAGCTCCCTGTGGGAGGACCACGGGTCAGAAGGAAGTTTTCTGAAGACTTTGACCAGAATATGTGATGATTTTTGGCTCTGTTAGATTAATTAGAAGATATTTCCACTTAATTAAACCCAAACTGATATAACATCAATAATGTTCAACCAGATCCTGCTTGCTTCAGTCACTTCAAAGGTCTGGCTGGTACGAAGCTCTGTAAATCGTGTGGAAGGACGTTCGACAGGAGCAGAACGTTCCATCACCTCGGCTGACTCACCTTCGGCTTGCGGCCTCGTCTCCCTTTAACCTTTTTAAAGGATTTGATGGTTTTCTTGTTCTTGGAGCGGTCTTCCTGCTTCTCCGGCACAGACGTCTGGGAGTCCACCTTCACCCGGGCCCCCCTCTTCTTGGAGAGGAGCTCTGGGTGGATTCGAGGCAGGACGCCTCCGTTGGAGATGGTCACCCCCCTGAGAAGCTGAATGAAAGATTTGGTCAGAAATGAGCTTTAACTGCAGCAAATGCATCACATCTGCCTTGGATGGCTTTGCTTTCAGCAGGAAGTTGCATATGAACTCTTAGACTTGGGTGGCGGGCGGGCCAAAACTTCTTATGATCACTGGGTGGATTTTAACGAGATTTTTACTGGAAGAACGTCTTCAGCTGCTTGACTTTTGGCACCAACTTCAGTCAACAATCTGATTCAACTTTTTCTGTAATTATTTTAATACATAAGTTCAAATTGTTAAGATCACTCAGATTCCGGCTCATTCACGGTGAAGAACCCAATAAACGAGTGTTGTACTCCTGGAAATCGGTCTTGAGACCACGTTTTTATGTTCTTGGAATCGAAGGCATTTTTACTGTCTGGTCTCAAACTGGGCGGACTTGTTTTTTTAACGAGATTGGTCGAGACTAGAGGTCGACCGATATTGGGTTCTCCATTGCGTATACCGATATGTAGGAGACATGGTCAGCCGATATGTACCTCTGATTTTCATGGCCGACATCCAGACACTTTCCACGTTGTTTTCATGCTAAAATGTCACTGATGAAATCAGCCAGTTTCTGGAGCTAAATCGTTTTTTGAACTGATTTCAGTCCGTTTATTGCTCGGACTGTATCGCAAGATCTCGAAAATCCTGCGCATGCCTGTTTGCGCACCTCAGGCCTCTGCACCGGAGCGGAGCCGTTGTAGAGCGGGTACAGTATAATTTGAGTTCGGAAGCAAGCGGCAGCAGAAGGCGGGGGTGGAGCGGAGATAGTGGAATTTTGGGGTAAGGGTCTATGTAGGGGGCGGGCATACTACGTGAACGGACCCATCTGATTGGCCGCATATCAGAAGGGCTACATTTGATTGGTCAAATAATACTTCTGCGTAAAAAACGTTGGTTACGTATTGTAACCCCAGATTATATGAGTCTAGTCGCAGCCCTTAAGCTAGCTGCTATTGGAAGGATGATCTCAGCATCAGCCAATCATGAAGAGCTTAAATGTACGCCCACCAATGGTGGGCACCCCTTGTGGGTATATAAGTGGAGCGACTCCACTGTTCGCCTCCTAACAGAACCAGTGGGGCCATTTGCTTAAGGGCTGCGACTAGACTCATAGAATCTGGGGTTACAATACGTAACCAACGTTCTATTTTGTCTAGTCTTAGCCCTTAAGCTAGCTGCTATTGGAATAATGCGCAGCAGGATGGGTTTACGCCACACTGGTTACCTCAACCAATGGACACACCCAACATGTCTCCTTTTAGTGAGGGTCGCTCAGCCTCAGCCCAGGGCTTAAAAGGCTGAGACAGCCAAAGAGAAGAGTGGGGCCCCCACTAAAAATATCATCCACAAGAGGATGAAATTCATTCAAGTAGGGCTGATGTGGTGCCATAATGCTTTCACTCAGCCTGCTGAGGTCCAAGCACTGAACGAGTGATGGATCCTGAAGACTCATCTCGTAAATAATAACGAGTAAAGGAACAGGGTGAAGCCCATGAAGCAGCCTGACAAATGTCTTCCATCGAAACACCACTGTGGAGCGCCATAGAATCCCTCTGGCTGAGTGAGCCCTGAGTGTCTCAGGAGGATCCCGCCCTGATGATGTGTAAGCGAGTGAAATGGCGTCACAAAGCCAGTGTGAAAGATGGTGGGTCGACAGCGCTTGCCCAAGGGAAGAATCTCTGTAGTGCACAAACAGGCTTTGTGAGCGGTGAATCCCTGAAGTGCGTGACACATATTGTGCGAGCGCACGCACCGGGCAGAGAAGGTGGGAAGCCACCTCCTCATCAGAATTATGGGGAGGAGGAAAAAGTCCAGCTAATGAAACTGACCTGGATTTGAAGGAAGTATTAATGTTTTTGGGCACAAAGACTGGGTTGGGGCATAAAACAGCGGACCCGCCATCTTCCCGGTAGAGCCCTGCACGGGCCTAAAATCTGAGCCCGTGTCCGGCCCGGCCCGAGGGGGTGGAGCCCCAGCTCGACCCAGTCCGAAAAGGTTTTCAGGATTCTCTGGCCCGACCCGAGCCCGACTTTTTTTTAACCAACTAAATGAAAACAAAGTGCATCAATCCTGACCAATGTGTTAAAAGACGTGCAGGATCCGATCAATTTGTTTTTCCCTCATTTACCGTCACAGAGATAACGGCGCAGGCTCTGGTGGTAATCAAGTTAAATGTTATCTCTTTCTAACAATTTTCACAAGAATACAAAACAGTCAAAAGCAGGGCTTGTGTTGTGTTGACCGGATAGTTCCCGTATTTGACCGTTTATTTTGACGGAGGAAGAATAGAAAGAATTACCCCGACGCATGCAGACGAACTGACATTTTATTCGTTATGCACATTGCAGATGTAGCTAAAAGATTCCCATCTGAACATCTGAGCTGGACACTGCTCAGCGCAGCTCGCTGTCAGCGCATACGTGCACAGCGAGCTGAAGATGTGGAGAGGGGCTTGGAGCTCGTCGCAGAACCAGAACCATGCAGGAAGGTTCCTCCCACTGAAGCGAGTGTTTTCCAAACCCTGTCTCTCAGAGAGACTTGTCACTTATAAAATGTTCCCTGATTATGAAACTTTGGCTGAATAGCGCTTGTTCCTGTCTCCAATGTGGCGATGCATCCAGGAGCCGTCTGAGGAGAAGCCCAGAATCTCACATCTTTAGCTCAGAACACACATATGATTACACACAAGCGTGACCCGTCAACCCGGTCTCACAGTAAGACCGGGTTGGAACTGTTCAGGTTTACGCAGACAATCTTTACATAGAATTGACTTACTGATATAAAATTAGTTCAGTAAAATATAAAGCATTCTATTTAAATATCCATTAATTATTTTACAAGCACAGAGAGCCGCATCAGATGGATGGAAGAGCCGCGGGTTGCCGACCCCTGGTATAGCCTATAAAATGACGTGTTTTCTCCAGGAATAGAGAGGACACAAACTCAATACATCTCTTTTATTGTGAGGTAATAATTTCTCCGAGTTCTGCCGTTGCGGGCGGGAGTAGACATGCACACTGCAGGTGCGGGCGGGAGTGTAACACACACGTTGCAGTTGCGGGCGGTAATTGTCAGAAATTCAGCGGGAGCGGGATGAAGAAAACGCACAGGGCTCTACTGCTGCGTTTCAGTCAGGGGTCGGCAACCCGCGGCTCTAGAGCCGCATGCGGCTCTTCCATCCATCTGATGCGGCTCTCTGTGTTTGTAAAATAATGAATGGATATTTAAATAAAAAGCTTTATATTTTACTGCATTAATTTTACATCTGTATGTCAATTCTAAATGTAAAGATTGTCTGCGTAAACCTGAACAAGTCCAACCCGGTCTTACTGTGAGATCGGGTTGATGTGTCACGCTTGTGCGTAATCATATCGGCGCTTTCTGAGCTGACGAGGATGTGAGATTCTGGGATTCTCCTCAGACGGCTCCTGGATGCATCGCCACATTGGAGACAGGAACAAGCGCTATTCAGCCAAAGTTTCATAATCAGGGAACATTTTCTAAGTGACAAGTCTCTCTGAAAGACAGGGTTTGGAAAACGCTCGCTTCAGTCGGAGGTATCTTCCTGCATGCGCTCTGGTTCTACGACGCGCTCCAAGCCCCTCTCCACATCTTCAGCTCGCTGTGGACCTTATGTTGTACATGCTGACAGTGAGCTGCGCTGAGCAGTGTCCAGCTCAGATGGGAATCTTTTCTTGAGTGATTTAGTGTTTCAATTTTTTTTATGAATTCGATTAAAAACAAAGGCACCCGGCCCGGCTCGTGTCCGAGGTAATTACACACTGGCAGGAAGCCCGGCCCGAGGGCCTAGGGCTTCAGTGCAGGGCTCAATGCGGGAGCCACTGAAAGGGCAGTTAGGTCGCTCACTCTCTTGACTGATGCCAGCGCCAGCAGCAAGGCAGTTTTGAGTGACAGGAACTTGAGTGAGACCTGGTCCAAGGGTTCAAATGGGGTTTCAGATAAGCCGCGCAGAACCACCGTTAGGTCCCACTGGGGAAATAGCGGGCAGGACACAGGTCTGTTCCTTCTGACACCTTTTAGAAAAAGTTTTGTGAGGGGATGATTGAAAACAGATCTATCTCCAAAACCCTGGTGACAGGATGAGATAGCTGCAGCATATGTTTTAATAGTGCTGAATGCGAGGCCCCTGTCCATCAGTATCTGCAGAAACAATAGGACATCCGCCAGCTGGCAGGAGAGTGCTTGAACATTCTGCTCTGTGCACCATTTCTGGAAAGCTGCCCATTTAGCAGCATAAGATGTGATGGTAGAAGGCGCCCGCACACTCTGAATAGTGGCGACCACATCATGCGGCAGCCCAGAAGCCTCTAAGCGTGACCGCTCAGCGGCCAGACCCACAGCCGTTGGCCTATTTCTGGAGGATGTTTGATTATCCCATCCGCCTGGAGAAGGGCGTCCGCCCTCCACGGGGAGCCGGACACTAGCGCTTGCAGATCTGGAAACCATGATGCGGACAGGCGTCTGGGAGCTACCAGAATTACCGAGAGCTGTTCCGACGAAACTCGGTCCAGGAGACGGGGGATCAGTGGGACTGGCAGAAACGCATAGAGGAGCATCTGAGGCCAGGGCTGGTGTGAGAAGGCGTCCGCTCCGAGTGGGGGGTTGTCCCGGAGACTCAGAGAAAACAACAGGTGACACTCAGCGTTTTCGCAAGCCGCGAACAGATCCACAGAGGGTTCCCCGAATTTGATCCATATCTGTGATATCAGTGCGGGATGCAGACGCCAGTCGGAGTCGCGGGGTCCCCCTCTCGACAGGATGTCTGCTGCCACATTCAGGACCCCCGGAATGTAAGTGGCTTTGATGGACAGCAGGTAGACATGTGCCCAACACAGTAAATCTGTGGCTACGCGCAATAGTGGGAGGGATCGAACTCCCCCTTGGCGATTTATGTAGGCTGCCGCCACCTGGTTGTCTGTGTGAACTTCGACATGACGGCCATCGAGAAGGGCAGCGAAGTGTCTGATCACATTCCTCACTGTCATAAGCTCCAACACATTTATGTGCTCGTGCGTGTGGGAGGGCCAGCGATCTGCCACTGTATGGGACAAGCACGTGCCCCCCCAACCCAACAGTGACGCATCCGTAAACACAGATACGTGTGACGTAGGACGTCCGATGGGGACCCCGTGTGAGAGGATGCAGGGATTCCCCCAGTGAGCGAGGTCCCCACCCACTGAAGGGGGAACCCTCAACATACGTCTCTTCTGACGTATCGGGTGTACCCGGAGGCAGATGAACCAACGCTGTAGGCGTCTCGTGTGCAGTAAACCTAACGGCACCACAGCGTGAGCTGCAGCCATCATGCCCAGAAATTATAAGGTGAGTAGAATGCTTCTTGGATAATTGCTCTTTAAAGAAAGCTCTTAAGCTTGGCTTGAAGAGATAACGGAGGTGAACAGTGGAGTCGCTCCACTTATGGGCCATTCCCATCTGTACCGGGTCGGCCCGGGCCTGGTAGCATAGGTTGTTTACATATCTGGGTGGCCTGGAATTTTTCAGGGCCAACCAAGGCTCATTCTCAGCCCTCTTCTCGAGGGGGTCTGCTTCAGGCCGACCAGGGCCAACACACCCACTGCTGACAGCAAATTCACACCTTCCATTAGAGCAAGCCTCTGATTGGTGGGTAGAATCAGCCCACATGGGCTTAAGGCAAGGATGTGTGGAATCAACCAGGCCAGGTTGGGGCCGACTGGGGCTACCCGGCCCGGGCCGACCCGGTACAGATGGGAATGGCCCATTATATACCCACAGGGGTGCCCACCATTGGTGGGCGTACATTTAAGCTCTTCATGATTGGCTGATGCTGAGATCATCCTTCCAATAGCAGCTAGCTTAAGGGCTAAGACTAGACGAAATAGAACAGAGCTGGTTTACAAAAAGTTGATGTATGACACGGATGGAAATGTTTGAACCAAACATTTATCGCCATTTTAGACATGCTTTGCGATGGGCCTATCGCATGTCCTGTTATCGCGATGATGATAATTTTTCGATATATTGTGCAGCCCTAATAAATAAGAATCCCGATTCAGACTTGAATCGATTTTTTCAGCACCTCTATTCCATAATCTTGTTCTTTCGGTCACTACCCAAAGCTCGTGACCATAGGTGAGGGTAGGAACGTAGAATGACCGGTAAATAGAGAGCTGAGCCGGAAGGCGAATGTCTTCACCATGACAGACCGGTACAACGCCTGCATCACTGCAGATGCAGCACCAATACGCCTGTCGACCTTATGCTCCAGCTTTCTCTCACAATGAAGCCAACAGGACCACATCATCTGTAAAAAGCAGAGACCTGATCCTCAGGCCACCAAAACGGATGCCCTCAAGACCTTGGCTGTGCCTAAATCCTGTCCGAATCTGTGACAAAGGGCAGCCTTGGCAGAGTCCAACTCTCACTGGGAATGAGCCTGACTTACTACCGGCAATGCGGACCAAGCTCTGACACCGGTCATACAGGGTCCTAACAGCCTGTATCAAAGGGCCTGGTACTACCCCATACTCTCGGAGTACCGCCCACAGGACCCCCCAACGGAAATGTGGTTGAATGCCTTCTTCAAATCTTCAAAACACATGTAGACTGGTTGGGCAAACTCCCACACACCCTCCAGGATCCCCCAAGGGTATAGAGCTGGTCCAGTGTTCCACGGCCAGGACAAAAACCACATTGTTCCTCCTGAATCTGAGGTTCAACAATCCGATGGACCCTCCTCTCCAGAACCCCTGAATAGACCGTACCAGAGAGGCTCAGGAGTGTGATCCCTCTGTAGTTGGAGCACACCCTGCAGTCCCCCTTTTTAAATAAGGGGACCACCACCCCGGTCTGCCAGTCCAGTGAGACTGCCCCTGATGTCTACGCGATATTGCAGATCCGCGTCAGCCAACACAGGCCCACAACATCCAGAGCCTTAAGGAACTCCAGGTGGATCTCATCCACCCCTGGAGCCTTGCCACAAAGGAGCTTTTTAACCACCTCAGTGACCTCAGCACCAGAGATTGGAGAGTCCAACCCAAAGTCCCCAGGCTCTGCGTCCTCACTGGAAGACATACCGGTGGGATTGAAGAGGTCTTTGAAGTATTCCGCTCACCGATCCACAACGTCTCGAGTAGAGGTCAGCAGCCCACCGTCCCCACTATAAACAGAGTTGGTAGCTCACCGCTTTCCCCTCCTGAGGCGCCGGATGGTGTCAGTTTGTTTTAAAAGCATCGAGGACAATAACGATAAACTTGAGTGTCGCTTTAAGAGTGCTGGGGACAGTTTCATCCATGTGACTGTTCTGTTACCGGGCTCTGCTCGTGCACGGTGAGGTGAGGTGAGGTGAAGATGCTGCGTTACCTGGTTGAGTTCTTCGTCGTTGGCCACAGCCAGCTTGATGTGTCTGGGAGTTATTCGACCTTTCTTGTTGTCTCGTGCTGCATTTCCTGCTAGCTCCAAAATCTCAGCTTAAAGGAAACAAAGCCGAGTGTAAAACAGTCTTAGAGCTCCGTGTTACACACACACACACACACACACACACACACACGCGTCTTCCACTCTCACTACCAGCTCCACGCAAATCAACAACTTATTTCAAGAATAAAACTATAAAAATATAACACGAGTGAAACTAAAAGCTACTATTAGCTGCCATAATTTCTAACTTGGTTCATTTTAGTATTTTTGCATGTGAACACACACCCGTTACTGAGTTCCCGGCTGCCAAAGCTGACATCCATAGAACTGTCTCTGTGTGCCGCTCTCCTACCTGCCAGGTACTCGATGACAGCTGCCATGTAGACAGGTGCGCCCATGCCAATGCGGTATTTGTGCGTCCCGGTGCGCAGGTACCTCATCATCCTCCCCACGGGGAAGATGACACCCGCCCTTGATGATCGGGACAACTTGGTGACCTTCTTCTTCCCACTTCTGGCAGACATTTTGGTGCTGAAGGTTATCAGAGATGAGCGTCATGTTTTACAGCAAGTTTATCATCAATAAATGGTCCTGCATGTTCCATAAAACCTGCATGAGAACATGTTCATGCAGCTGCTGATGGATAATTGGGTCCTCTAGTCGGTGTTTTTTTATTTGAGCAGTTACATTCTCATAATCTTACAAAGTTTAAAACAGAGCTCAAAGGGAATAGGCTGAAGCAGAGATGCTTATGTTCACCCACCCCTCAACCCGTATCCAATATTACTACAGTTTATAAATTTGTAGGCGTATTGGTAGCACTTAATATACCTTCATTTATTCATTACTTGTTTTAATGATTATTTAGATATTTACCTCACTATACCAAAGTTTATTTGCCCTTTGTATTGAAACAAACACAATGAAACCATGAAGTGTACTTATCACATTTTCTGTACATTAACATGACAACAATGATCTTTGCTAAGTGGTGTACTGTACACTAGCCACACCCTTTAAGTGGTCATCCAAACCATTCCACAGTTTCTCACCTCTTCCACACACACCGGTTCTTGAGGATGGTGTGAGAACACTGAACCTTGAAATTAAGTGATCTCCTCAGATCATACCCACTGACTCTGTTACTAAAGAGCCTCTGAATAATTCTCTTCCTTGCTCTATATAAGATTAGTAGTGATTTTTAAAAGTTTAATAGAGTGTATTAGTGTGGTCCCTGAGCCCAACATTACCTACAATCCTGACAATGTTTCCTAATGACTCCTACAGGCATTTCCACAGACCTTCACTCAATAATGGGCTCGATACACGGGAGGCAACAAACGACAGTGATCACCGAAATTCGTCGCTGTCGCTTTTATTACCTGACACACGGGTGGCGACCAGTGGCAGCGGCCAGCGGCAAAGCCGTCGACGCGTTCTGTTCCATGGCGAAATCGAATCTTCCATTGTTTTGATTGGCTGTGTCAGGTTGGAGGGAATTAAAGTTATTTAAGCGGTTCAGAGTTTAAAAAAAAGCGGTAGATATGATGTTTCATAAGGTGCTGTTAGAGTTATGTGAAATCTTACTTCTGATTTTACTAAATTTAAAAAAAACCTGGAGAATGGGCTGTTTGGTAGAAATATTGTACAGCTCTGGGAAATCCGTCACAGCAAGTATCAACTTCTCCTCCATGTTCGCTCGGAGATGTACGGAGCATCCTGTCCGCTCATTGGCCAGTGAATGAAACCTCCGTTGATTGGTCCTCGTTCGAGCGACAGTGATGAAAAGTTGAAAATATTTCAACTTTCTGGGATTGCGTTGCTGGGTCGCCTGTGCACGACACGTGCACGAGCGCAAAATTTCACACGCACATTTTTCACGGTTTGCTCAGTAGGAGGGAGACCCGCGATTATCGCTTTGCCGCGCATGTCTCATTGAAAATGAATGGAGAGGCGATGTCGTCTCCCGTGTGTCGAGCCCATTATGGGAAACCCAGTGACGTGATCCCAGAAATTTGAAATATTTTCAACTTTTCATCGCTGTCGCTCGGACGAGGACCAATCAACGGAGGTTTAATTCACTGACCAATAGAGGTGCTGAAAAAAATCTATTCAAGTCTGAATCGGGGTTCTTATTTATAAAGATTCAGAATCGATTCCAAGAACTAAATATTTGGCATGTTACAGGTTTGAGATGCACTTTTTTGATCTTTGTTAGGAGAGTCAGTACTCCGTTTACTTTTGTGGTCCCATAAATTGAGATGATTCATTTTTGAATCTGCTGATAAGTGGGGACTAGAATGTAATTTTTTCCATACTCATTAATTTGAGATATTCTCATATTTATTTTCTAAGTAGATAAGCGAGTACTCAGAATTACTCATGTATTTATTTGAAGTTGTTGATAAATGAGAGAAAACATTTTCCTTTGTAAGAAACCTGAGGCACTTTTTTAAACAGGCTGAGGACTCAAATGTTAAACTTGTTTCCACACATACTTGAAACGTATTTGACCGTATTACTTTCAACGCTACTGTTAGGTAACTAAAGATGTGTTATATTTTACAAGGTAAGCAAAAATAAATGTTGTCTTTTGGTCAAAAGATTGCTTCTGTTTATAGTTTTAGAATCACTTTATTTTACCTTGTAAATTAGCCTTTTTTTAACATGACCAGTTTAAAGTAAAATAAAAAATTTCCCATAGCTTTAACTAACTTCCACAACAAAGTAGTTAATCCTGGAACTGACACTCTTTAATATTGATTGTGAATCGATTCTGAATCAAATGGGCACCCCGAGAATCGGAATCGAATCAAATAGTGAGTTGCAGATTCACATCCCTACTAACCAATGAGCAGACAGGATGCTCCGTACATCTCCGAGCAAACATGGAGGGGAAGTTGATACTTGCTGTGACGGATTTCCCAGAACTGTACAATATTTCTACCAAAGAACCCATTCTCCGGGTTTTTTAATATAGTAAAATCAGAAGTAAGATTTGCCTCCCGTGTATCGAGCCCAATACCAACATAAGGAAGGATGAGTGAATAGTACAAGAAGAGTAGTCCTTTGTGGTCCAAAAGGTATCTACATCGTCTCATAATAGCAATATTCTCTGCCTGTTTCTCTTGTACACTGACTAATTGGGGTTTTCAGCTAATGTTGTGACTGAGGATCACTCCTAAAATGGATTCTCTTTTACCCTTTCTATCTCATTGTCAATTTAGATTTTTTATCTTCTGATTGCCAAACAGCATCATTTTAGTTGTATTTACAGATAATTAGTTTTTGTTAAACCAGTCCTTAAGTTTCTCTAGTTCTGTGGTCACCTCTGTCACAAGCAGCTGTAAGTCATTTCCTGAGCATCATATTGTGGTATTAACACCTGATTCTGGAATTATCTTTTCCAGTTCCTTTGCTCCTGGGTCTGCCGGAGCTGTCACTGTTCCTGCTCTAGTTAAATCTACCAATCAAGTCGTTTTATGCTGTTTTGGATTTACTTCAACCAGTCATCTCACCCAGTGGGAACAATGGTTTCATTACACATTTATTAAATAACAGGTGCGTATTCTTGACACTTTTCCCCCATGAAATATAAACACCAGAGAACGGCAAAACTAAAAAAGTGGTCTTTAATCATGATTCTGTTATTGATGCAAGCTAATCATCTTTAGAAAATGTAAAACTGTGACAAAATCTCTGGTCGAGAGACGACTGACCCTCTGGTTTGACACGTACACAACCATTAAAATAAGCACAATTATTAGTGGTAGTTTCTCTCATTTGGTTCCTCGCAACAATAAATATCGAGTTAATTTGTATCAGTTTTTCACATTTTTATTTAAAAAAATCACAAAGTTACAAGAAAACGTGAAATCAGTTTAAATCCATATAATCACATCTAAACGTGGTGATTTTGAATATTTCTACACCAGGTGTGTTCAGCCATGACCCTCCTGGGCCACCGTCCAGCATGTTTTTGAAGTTTTCCTGTTCTAACACACCTGATGGTTGACTCACCTGTGCTGCAGCAGGTCATCAGAAGCCTGTATAATCATCCACTGATTGTAGCTGAAGCTCCTAAAACAGACAGGACGGTGGCCTGGGAGGGTCAGGACTGGGCAATCAGATGGCTTCGCCATGCTTTTATTTTGGTAGGCCGCTTCGGGGCGGTCAGAAATTCCCATGTTAGCTAAAGCATTTATTTAAAAACCATCATGTTTATATTTAAATTCAACAGTTGGGTCAAAACTATAAACCTGGTTCTGAATATTTTGGTTTATTTTTATCAAAATATCTGTTTTGACTATTTTGGACTCGACACGTAAAAACATGGTCGCTATTGTTTTATTTACGGTATTTTGTTTTTGTTTTTTGTACACGCAGAAGCGCCGCCGCCGGTGAATAGTCGGCATTCCGTGTGATTTCCCTCCCAGCCGTGACCGTTCGGTCTCCGGTTTAACGGGGACATGTAGCGGCCTGCAGCGGCGGCGGCGCCTCCGGAGCTCATTTACATATGTGAAGGAACATGTATGACCCACGAGCCGTCGGCCGACTTCAAAGGGCCACAGATGTATAATGAGCGCGTGCGGTGTTGATACGCACGAGCGCAGCGGAAAAGCTGTGAACGTGACCATAGCTTTGAAGGCTAACGTCACCGTTCCGAACTGAGCAGAAAACCGAAAGCGTCTTTTCGACGTAGCTACGCAGACGTTAAGATTCGGTTATGAAATAAATAAAAAGACGGACTCGGCGCCGCGAGCTCGTTCCTCACAAGTGTTTGTTTATTTATGCAACATGCTAACGGAGCACGGCTCCGGTCGCTACATTAGCCCGTTACAGGAGAAAACGCGAGACGGGGGCGCGTGTTCTGCTTGTTCCGACATTAAAAACCGACTCTTTCTCTAACCGAACCCCCTCCCGCCCGCTCCGGTTAATCTCAGGGAGGAACGCGTCCCGGTGGATCCGGATGTGGACCCAAACAGGAACAAATAGAACCAAATTAAGTTTTTACCTGTGTTTTCCTTTAACGTGAAACGGGCCGAGCCCGAGATGCTGCTGCTGCTTGGCTACAGTAGCGGACGGTGCTTTGACCAGGCTCGGCGGAGGTTTGCTGCCCTTCCAGGTTAGAGAGAAAAGCCCAGGTAGTGTGGATGGAGGCTGGCTATATGCTACTGATGCTGCAAAGGGAAAAAATTCAGGACACGGAAAATCCACACTAACCCCCCCCCCCCCCCCCCCCCCCCCAAACATGCCTTCAGACATGCACACACACAGAGACTACACACACATATACAAACCCTAGTTACAAACTCCATCTGGTGTGACACGTACATGTAAATTAAACATGTCTAAGTTGTCTATTATTTGTTTGTTTAGTCTCAGTTTAGTTCTATGGGCCACTCAGGTTCTGGGTCTGAACAGTCTTAAAGGTGCAATATGTCAGAATTCTACAATCACAAAGCAGTCTAATGTAGGGGTTGTTTTGAGCAGGATCTTGATGGAACAAGATACGGGAACTGTCTTATTTTGAAAAGACCGTTCCGGCAACTGTCTGCTAGGTTCGGGCAACTCACGCGACCAACTTGTGCTATACGCAGTGTTCGAATTACGGGTGAGCTAAAGGGAGCCCGGCTCACCCGAAAGGATGACGGGCTCCCCTGGAAGTCCTCAACTTACACATCCAGGGGGAGCTCAAAAACTATCCTGGTTCTACTTATATTACATTATTTATGTGGACTCTCCGGGGATTATTTTGAGCTGAGAGGCACAGAGCTCTGATTGTTGATGCGCTCCAGACAGCTGCGTCCTGAGAACGGCCACAGTAACATTCTCAGTGTCGCCACCAGGGGCGTTGGACTGGGGGGGGGAAAGGGTACCGTTTACCCAGGGCCCACTGCAGGGAGGGGCCCTGAGACAGCTTTGAATAAAAATGTTTTATTGTTGTTGTTTTTTCCCCCCAACTTACTTAATGTCTTAATAAACGTCTCTTTACCTGGACAAAGAGGTTAAGAAACTGAATTTCGCCTTAAAAATAATAACTGAATAATCTCTGAGGCATCTATCACCCCTTAAAAATGTGCAAAGTGGTTTAGTCCACACCAGCGGCCAGGGGCTGCACGGCAGCATGTACAGCTATGAGACATCGCAGATGCCGACAGCCAGAGCTGGAGGCAGGAGAGTCAGTCATGTCTTTTCCCAAGAAAGGGAAATCTGGCTTCCAGAAAAGAAAAGAAGGAGAAGGAGAAAAAGTTAATTGAACAGAAGCAAGTATTGACTAGGTTCTTCAAGAAGGAAGGTGAGCAGCAGAACACAGTTTTAGCTGATATTAGCTAGCTCTCAGAAGCTGCATTCATGTTAGGTGTTCAGTGTTCATTTTTGGGAGCTTATGATAGACATTGTCCTCTAAAATATCATAAGCAAAACTTAAAAAAAAGGTCCCCACCCTGGATTGTTAGGGGATTGGAAAGGGCTTGCCAGAAAAAGAAATCACTGTATCTGGATTTTCTAAAAAATCCAACAAAGGAAAAAGAAAAAAGGTATAAGGAATATAAAAACAAATTAACTACAATAATAAGGAAGCAAAAAAAGGAATATTATGATCAGCTTTTCCTAAAACACAAAAATAATATTAAAGGTACATGGAATGTGTTAAATAAATTAATAAGAAATACAAAAGAAGCAGGTATAGATATTCACAATAAAAATGGAAAGAACATTGCAAATGAGTTTAATAAATATTTTGTGAATGTTGGCCCCTAATCTAGCTAAAAAGCTGCCAGAAGTTGACATTAACCATGAAATAAATAAAAATAATAATACAATGTTTTTGAGCAGTGTAAGCCAAAGTGATGTGATCCAAGCGGTACATAGTTTCAAAAGTTAAAAGTCCTTAGATTTTCATGGGATGGATATGTCTCTCATCAAGGAGGTTATCCATTGCATTATTGAACCTTTTACTTATATTTGTAATAAATCCTTTTCAAGTGGCACAGTCCCTGAACAAATGAAAGTAGCCAGAGTTATTCCTATTTATAAAAGTGGTGATAAATGATTAGCTTGTAACTATAGACCTATCTCTTTACTGCCACAGTTTTCAAAGATACTTGAGAAACTTTTTGTAATTAGATTTGAAGCATTTACCAACAAGTTTGATCTTTTAAATGACCATCAGTATGGGTTTAGGAAGAATCGTTCAACCTTATTAGCAGTTATGGATTTGGTAGAGCAGATTGCAACAGCAGTGGATCAAAAACTTAATGTAGTGGCTGTCTTGATTGACTTGAGTAAGGCATTTGATACAATTGATCACACATACCTGCTCAAGAAATGTGAATACTATGGTCTTCGTGGTAAAACCAATCAATGGCTTGAAAGTTATTTAAGCAGTAGATTTCAATATGTTAATGTTAATGATATAGATTCACAGCTTGAAAGAGTAATATGTGGTGTACCGCAAGGCTCGGTGCTCGGACCGAAATTATTCAACCTATACCTGAACGACATATTTTCTGTATCGTCTCGGTTAAAATTTATTATGTTTGCAGATGATACAAATTTCATTTGTATGGGAAAAGATATGAGTAAATTATTACAAGAGGTTGAAAACGAATTGGATTCAATTAAAAAATGGTTTGATTACAACAAGCTATCACTAAATGAAAATAAAACCAAATTTATGATATTTTCAGGGAAAAGGGACAATGACGGTGCTAAGCTGTATTTAAATGGTATTCAATTGCTAATTGAATAGTGCACCGGTGATGTTGAAATGTGTTTCTCCACCATTCTGCACCTCCCAAGCTGCAAAAACGTGTGCGCTCATTGCTCGCTCCCACAGTGCACACAATTACAAACTGCATGCGCACCAGGCGCTGGGATGCTAACAGAGCCAATAATTCAATTCAAAAAATACTTTATTAATCCCAGAGGGAAATTCGAATTGTG